GGGCTTTAAGTGCCTCTCATCTCTGATGTCTAAGATATCATGATCAAGTCTTAGACCTTTAGTGACCTTTTCAATCTGCAGACCAACATCTTTCAGTCTGGGGAAATTTTCTTCTATTATTTCTTCAATAATTATGCCTTCCATTTTCTCTGAACCTGTGTAGAATTCTTAACAGTCAAATGCTGGGCCTCTTGAACTGATGTTTTAATGTTCTCATTTTCTCTCCCATTATGTGTCTTTCTCTGTCTCTCTTTCTCTCTCTTCCTGTTCCACTTTCGGGGAAATTTCCTCTATTTTATCTTTCAAAACTTTTATTAAATTTTGAATTTTAGCTATTATTTTTAATAGCCAAAAGCTCTTTCTTGTGCTTTGATTTTAGATGTGGTAGTATAAATCTGATATCTATCTATCTATCTATCTATCTTCTATCATCTATCATCTATCTGTCTATCTATCATCTATCTGTCTATCTATCATCTATCTATCTATCTATCATCTATCTGTCTATCATCTATCATCTATCTATCTATCTATCAATCTATCTATCTATCATCTGTCTGTCTATCATCTATCTATCATCTATCTGTCTATCTATCATCTATCTATCATCTATCTGTCTATCTATCTATCATCTATCTCTCTATCTATCATCTATCTGTCTGTCTATCTATCATCTATCTATCTATCTATCTATCATCTATCTGTCTATCTATCATCTATCTATCTATCTATCTATCTATCATCTATCTGTCTATCATCTATCATCTATCTATCTATCTATCAATCTATCTATCTATCTATCTATCTATCTATCATCTATCTGTCTGTCTATTTATCATCTATCTGTCTATCTATCATCTATCTATCTATCATCTATCTGTCTATCTATCTATCATCTATCATCTATCTGTCTGTCTATCTATCATCTATCTATCATCTATCATCTATCTGTCTGTCTATCATCTATCTATCTATCATCTATCTGTCTATCTATCTATCATCTATCTATCTATCTATCATCTATCTGTCTGTCTATCTATCATCTATCTATCATCTATCTGTCTATCTATTATCTATCTATCTATCTATCATCTATCTGTCTATCTATCTATCATCTATCATCTATCTATCTATCTATCTATCTATCATCTGTCTATCTATCATCTATCTATCTATCTATCATCTATCTGTCTGTCTATCGTCTTTCTCCTGCTCTTCTTTCAGGTGAAATATCTGCATTTATCTCTCTGAAGGTATTTATGATACATGTTTTTGAAGTTTTCTTCTACTTCTGACCTTGTCTCTGTTTCCTCCAAGTTCCTTTTCTCTGCCTATTAGCTTGTATGGTTTTATTGGTAGAGGCTTTCTGAAAATGTCTGGTGATCCCTAGTTGTCTATATTTCAGAGTGTGAGCCATTCAAAAGAAAAAACCCTGATTGGCAGCTCTATGGGCATGACTGCATCCCATGACCTGTGAGCTGCATTGTCGGGGAAATGGACAGGGAGCAGACTTTCTTTAGAGGACTCCTCCCAAATCAGTACTGTTGTTTACTCCCATAGGTTATTCTGGTTTTTTTTCAGAGAATTCTCCTGCCTCTGCCTGGGGCTAGGGATGGAAGTTGTGTGATATCCTAGCTACTCTCCTTCAAAAAAGTACAACTGGGGAAGAGGGCTGAGAGTCTCCCTGCCCAGGATGTGAAACTTAGCACCATCTTCTGATGTTATGTCCAGTACTGTACTCCCACCTGCTGACGGGCATGGTGTCCTCCGGTCCTCTCTTGATCACTTCCTTCAGAGGCTGAGTCACCTACCCTGCCCCTTGACCCATCCAGGTTAGGAGGAGGGTTCTTGCCTGACTGCGTAGGCTGAGTAAGGGAACCTGGAGGTCTAACCAATGCCTCATCCTACCTTCTGCCATGGCCAGTGTCCCTGACTCCCTCAGGTTTCCTGGGGATTCACAAGGGCCATATCATCTTTCTTAGACCCCTCTTTCCACAGGCCTGGCCATTTAAACATTCTTCATCCTGTTAAGTGAGTTGTCACTCTTTTTTTTCTTTGTTTGTTTGTTTTTTGAGATGGAGTTTCACTCTTTCGCCCAGGCTGGACTGAAGTGGCACAATCTCGGATCACTGCAACCTCTGCTCCCTGGATTCAAGCAATTCTCCTGCCCCAGCTTCCTGAGTAGTTGGGATTACAGTCATATGCCACCGCACCTGGCTAATTTATATATTTTTTTGTTTCACTGTGTTGCCCAAGCTAGTCTTGAAATTCTGACCTCAAGTGATCCATCAGCCTTGGTCTCCCAAAGTGCTGAGATCACAGGCATGAGCCACCACGTCCCATCCAGTTGTCATTCTTGCATCTGCTTTTCATCTTCTTCAAATTGGAAGACATTTTTCCTCTGCTGTTGTCATTTCTTCCACTTTCTTTCCTGGTGGGTTTTTAGTAGCTTGAATTTCATGTTAGTGTAATTTCAGGAGGGAACTGTGATAAATGATTGGGATCCATTCCCATTGTTTCACCTGAAGTCTTTATTTAATATCTGCTTCCCCCATTAGCCTACAAGAGCCCCACAGATGGAGACCCTGCTTGTTTGGTTCAGCACAGTTGTTCCATCACCTAGCAGAGTGCCCAGCACGTATGAGGTTCTTAGGAAATAGATATCAGCTAAATTAAAAGTATGGCCAGTGGGAGGTTCTATATGCTCTCTTATTTAACGATGTTATTGCACTGGAGGCAGGGCCCTCAGTCTTCTCCTCTGTAAAATAAGAAGGCTGGGTGGAATCTAGGGGTTTCAGCTGTGGATAGGAGGGGAATTATGTCTGTGATTGCAGAAAAAGAATCACAGGTGGATAACCTCTTGGTCGCACCAACTTAAAAATTCTAGGATTATAAAGATTGGCTGGACAGCTCCCAGAGGGGGTGGTCTGAGGGTCCTGGTGTGCCTGGAAGCAAAAAGAAAAGGCCTGTTTTCGGCCCCAGTGCCTGTCCCCTCGTCCTTGCCACACTCCCCACGCAGAGCAGGGGGTTCTGTCTCACCACTGGAAGGAAGAGAGCCTGGCAGAACTGGACGCCTCCCCCAGAGAAGGCAAGGAAGGGAGGAGAGAGGAAGGCGGGGCGACCTCAAGCCTCACTCAGTACTGAGCCCCGATGCTGGTTGATGAGCTAAAAATATAACGACAGGTATCCCCCCCTTCCACTGTCTTAATGTGTTTTTTTAAATAAGTCAGCCTCTTTCTAGTTCTCCCTTTCCACTGTCATTTATTTCAGTTTTTATCTCCACAACAAAAATTCCTTCCAACTTTTTTTCCCTCTCTCCCTCTAATGCTCTTCACTTTCAAATGCTAATAATCTCCAGCTGTAAAAGGCTTAGAAGTGGCTCTAGATTGTTTGATCTTTGGCCTGTGATCTGCTTTCATCTCTCTGCTTTCAAATGTTACTTTAGATTTACTTTAACCTATTAACGTGCTTGGTATTCACGGACACGCACTCGCCAAACCGGCTTCCCAGCACCCAGGCCGCACCCCCTCCCCATCAAAACCAGACCCGGAAAAGTGAAACTCCAAGCTCAGACGGGAACTTTGCGGGAGCTGGAGGAGGAGGCCTGGGAGGCCGGGGAGGGCGGAGGGAGAGCTGGAAGGAGGAAGGCTGCGGGAGAAGACCCGGGAAGGGGGCAGGAGGGGAGGTAATCGGGTAGTGGGGGGAGAGAAGAGAGGCAGGGGAAGCAGATGGAGAAGGCGGGAGAGTAAAGGAAGGAGAAAGGAGACAAAGGCAGAGAAAGGGAGAGCAGGGACAAAGAAGGACGGACAAGGCTCCGTGGTGATCGCGCTGCCTCCCGGCTGGTTAGACACTATCTAAATCTGCTCTCCGTGGAGCCGCAGCCGGGAACGGGGAATGGAGAGACGTTGAATTAGTGCTTGAGATTTCTTGCTCCCTCGTTGTGCCAGAATGTCTGGCGTGTTCGTTTCCACAGGAAACGCGAGGCATGAATATGGATGAAACTCCTCACTGAGACCACAAGGGTACGGTTCAATTATTTGCCATATAAAGTAGCACATGAGGATTCTTTGCGCTTGATCATTTCCTCTGTGTTCACCTGTGTGTGCGCTGTGTGTGTGCGTGTGTGCGTGCGCGCATGTGTGTTGGGGTGCATGGGGGCGGCCGGGGAAGGGACCCTAACCCCTCCCAGGAGATGCCTTTGAAGACGCTGTGTCATCCAGACCCTCACGGAGGGCTCCAGTTGCAGCTGAGCGCCTGGGGGTGACTTGGGAAGAGGAGCCCCCTCACATCTCCACCTTCCCCACCCCAACACACACCTGTGTATGCCCGCAGTGTCAGCTCTCACCCCCAGCCTCTGATCTGCCAAAGGACAGAGATCCAGAGGACCATTATTGATAATGAGGGTATTGGAAAACACTAACTGTCGCAGGAGTCATCCCAAACCAGCCTGGTGGCCCCAGGCTTTGAGGCTGCTGCCTTGTTGGAGAGAAAGCAGATGTCCCTGCCTCCCTAAGGGGAAGCCTGACCCAGCCGTCCATCTGGATGGTGGTGGCTTCAGCAGGAGGTGGCAGCGGGAGGATGTTTTGGCGGGGCTGTAAGGGACACTGAGGGAGGCAGAGTCCTCTTGGATAGTCTCCCACAGAGGAAAAGCCACTGAAGCCACTGAGGGAGGGGAGGGTGAAGAAGCTTCCTTTGGCCCAGAAAGTCCAGAGTGCAAGTCCTGGGAGAGGAACTGAGCTCTCTAACCTCAGTTTCCTCATCTGTGAAACGGAATAGCAATACTCTTTATTTCAAAGGGTAGTTGTGATGGCAGCAACAATTCTAGAAGTTTTATGGTTATAACTAGTCGAGCACTTACCATGTGGCAGGTACTCTTCTAAGTGCCTTATAAATATTAACTCAAGTAATCCTCTGTTAATCCTCATTTAATACTCATTTAACCCTATGAGGTGGATACTATTATTAGCCTCATTTTACAGATAAGTAATTTGCACAAGGTCACACAGCTAGTGCTATCATGTTCATTTTAGACTAATTAGGCTGTTGGGTCACATGAATTCATCTATTACCTAATTTAATTATTTCAACATCCCTCTGGGTTAGGATTCACTGCAGTCAGTTTACATAGCAGAGAACAGGCCAACATCACCCAATTAACCAAAGTTCTTTCCAGCCCAAACCCATATCCTGAATATCTTGCTATGCTGCAAAGATGCTTTTCAATGATAATGAGCTTTAGAATGTCAGTTATGATTAGGGGATTTCTGCCAAATGGAAGAGTCACATTTGGTGTGTAGAGGTCCAGGGTGCTAAGGAAAAGGCAGGCTTCTGAGGCCATCCTCTCTCTCAGACCTTCTGGAGGGCAAACCGGAACCTTTGTGATATAGCTGTTGGTGCTTCTGGTCCTGAACAGAAAGGATATGGAGAGAGGTTTCCTGCCTGGTAACACCATAGAATCGGCACCACGAGTGGAAGGACCAGGGACTGCCCACATCAGTGCATCGCCTCAACTGAGTCGACCTCCATGGCTGCCACGCCCTCCCCACCAGCTTCTGATGGTGACGATGTTGGTGAGCGGTTTGCAGGGGCTGAACAGAGAGGCGACCACAAGTGAAGCTCACCCATGGGCTACCCTGGCCCACTGAAGCAGAAGAGAAATGTACCCCGTCTGCCATGCGCCTGGCAACTCGTAAGGTATTTCTGCACCTATCAGCAAATTCCAACTTCACCCAACCCTGTGAAGGAGGCTTCCATCTGCTTCATCATTTTGCAGATGCTGAGAGTTTAAGTGACTTGAACGTGGTCACACAGAATCTTTTCATTACACCCCACTGCCTCCCTCAGCACTCAGTGGATATAGATTGATGACAGCAACTGAGTATTAGACTGGAAAGCAGCCCGGCGGGCCTCCTGCGGCTGAGACGCCAGTGACTTCAGCCCTGCTCAAGGTCCTTTTTCACCAGCCACTGGGCTCCCTGGGGCTGGGCCCAGGTCTGCTTGTGACCTGGTAAAATCCAAGCTTAAAGCAGTTCTCCTTTTGACTCTCTCTGAGCTCTGTCTCCTCCCAGCTTCCCTGGTCTAGGAGTGAGCCCTACATATCAATTTTCACTGATGAGACTGACCCAGGCAGAGTTTGCACTCAGCTCCTCTGCTTACTGGCTGTGTGCCCCCAGGTAAGTAACTTAGCTTTTCTGAGCCAAAGTTTCCCCATCTGCTTAAATGAAGGGGTGGTCCTAATGAATCCTAGTCCCTGGGGTGATGGGGCCCTGGAGTTGCAGTTCGTTTGCAAGGGACACCCTTTATAAGTGCTGTCCTCTTGCGCAGCATTGGGCACTCCTTCGGAGGGGGTGGGCATCACATAGAGTCTCTAAGTCTGGGGCTTGGAGAAGGATCATACTGGCAATGGAGAAGGGAAGGCACTTGTATCCTCCCCTCTGCTGGCTCCAGCAAAGCTCAGGCATTCTGCCACCTGCCCCATAAAACAGTCTTAGGTGTTTGCCCTGGGACTGTGACTAACATTTCCATAGGTGTCTGCCCTGGGACTGTGACTAACCTGAAGCACCCAGCTTCTGTTGTAAGAGCTCCCATCTGAAACCCAGTAGCTGGCTCTTTAGGCTACTAGAAGAATCCTTCTAGGTTGCCTTGGGGTATGCGGACATGGGGATTCATTAGGGCTCTTTTTCTCGCTACTCGATGGCATCCTTTGGTGCCAGCTCACCAGGGCCTCGGGAGGCTGGGAGGGGCAGGGCACACTGAGGAGAAGTTCCCCCCTTCTTCACACCACCTACCAGCCCTTGGTTACTGGAAAGAGCAAATGCAAATGGATCCAAAGCACAATACCCAGAATACACTGCCACGCTTCCTAGGGGCTCACTGTGAGTTAAAGCTGGGCTCCTCCTGGGGGCTGACATTTTCCTTGGTTCAAACAACATCTGCGCCTTGCCAAGCTGGGCAAAAGGTGAGAGAGCCAGTTACTGCCACTGTAGACTCAAGTAAAACAGAAAACCTAGCTACACAAGGTCCCTCCTACCTGGAAGGGGTGCTGGGTCCACACACACACTCACGCACATGCACGCATGCATGCTCCCCCGACCAATGCACTCTCATGAGTACCTCACACACACACAGGCACACATGCATGTTCACAAGTCCTCCTTACACACACATATGCATACTTAAGAGTACCTCACACACTCACACTTGCACACTTACAGATCCCCTCACACTTGCAAACCCAGTAGGCACATTGCCACTTATGTACAGACACACATGCATGCCTTTTCAGGAACCTCAGGCCCACTCACACATGCACACATTCATGCATGCCTGTGTCCACCACAGACAACACACAGACTCTTGTGAACTAGAGGAGGGGATTGATAGTCTCCCTCTCCACCCCCCACTCCCCAGATTCAGCAGACCCAGCAAAGGCTGCTGAGAATTTGAAATAAAAGGCCATCTTCCCCTCCAGGCTTCAGGCCAAATCTCCAAATGAAATCAGGCCAGGGAGAAATGAACAACTGAGATGCACAAAACAATGCGAAGAAGAAGCTCTGAAAAAAACCCGAATAATAATATATATATAAAAAAAGGTGAGAGTTATTTTTCAGCTCACTGGCTTTCTGAAAAGTAATATAAAGTTGGGCAGCGTCTTCTTGGAATCGACCTTTCTGAGCCGAGACCCAGGCCACACGCACATCTCTTTCCTCTCTTTCTATTACCCGAGATTTGTATGGTTTCATCTCCTCTGATTTTCTTTCGTTTGTGCGCCTGTGCAAACCCCTTGTGTCAGGGGCTTGTTACTAACCTGGCAGCACCGGCCTGCTGGGAGCCCCTTCTCCCTTGGCCTCCTGCAGGGCTGAGAATTGAGAGTCTGCTCAGTTCTGCTCCCCTCAATGCCCAGGAGGGGCTGTAGACCTCCTCCCTACCCGACTCTTCCACTTACCTGGCCTCCCAGCCTTCTTTGTTTCTAAGAAAATTCTCTCACATACTTTTCACTCAACCAGGGCTGTAAAGGAGAGCCTGGATGGGCTGAGGGGCCCCAGGTGCTGGAGCCCAGAGCCTTGCTCAGGGCCTGGTGCAGGTAGGAGCAGAACAAATATTTAGCGAAGGCATGAAAAAGCAGATGAATAAGCAAATGCTTCTGCCTTTTTCGGGGGGAGGAGGGAAGAAATTCCTATTCTAAAATTTCCAGGAAAAAGATTTAGGAAGGGGGACCAGAATATTAAAGTGATGATAATCCCTGGGGTTCTAATCACTGCTCCTCTAGGAGTGAGACTCGGAGGACTTATAGAAAGGTGTCCCCTACACCTTTCTCCCCTGTCGCCTCCCCTCCAAGATAACACTCATATGCACAGACACACAATGAGAGAACCTCAAACACATCCACAGAGTACACACACACGCATCACAGACACATGCACATCAGCACACACACACACCCCTCACACATCCACAGAATACACACACACACACACACCCCTCAGACATACCCACATAGGTACACACACATCCCTCAGACACACCCAGATAGATACACACACACACCCCTCAGACACACCCACATAGGTACACACACACTCCTCAGACAGCCAGATAGGTACACGCACACACCCCTCAGACACACCCAGCTAGATACACGCACACACCCCTCAGACACACCCAGATAGATACACGCACACACCCCTCAGACACACCCAGATACACCCCTCAGACAGCCAGATAGATACACGCACACACCCCTCAGACACACCCACATAGGTACACACACACCCCTCAGACAGCCAGATAGGTACACACACACCCCTCAGACACACCCACATAGGTACACACACACCCCTCAGACAGCCAGATAGATACATGCACACACCTCTCAGACACACCCACATAGGTACACACACACCCCTCAGACAGCCAGATAGATGCATGCACACACCCCTCAGACAGCCAGATAGGTACACGCACACACCCCTCAGACACACCCAGATAGATACACGCACACACCCCTCAGACACACCCAGATACACCCCTCAGACAGCCAGATAGATACACGCACACCCCTCAGACACACCCACATAGGTACATGCACACACACCTCAGACAGCCAGATAGATACATGCACACCCCTCAGACACACCCACATAGGTAAACACACACACAGACACCCTCAGACACATCCACATAGGTGCACACACACACACCCCTCAGACACATTCACATAGGACACACACACCCCCCCAGACACATCCACATAGGTACGCACACACACACACCCCTCACACATCCCCATAGGTACACACACACACACGCCTCACACATCCACATAGGTACACACACACACCCCTCAGATACATCCACAAAGGTACACACACCCCCCCACTCAGATGCATTCACATAGGTACACACACACCCCTCAGACACATCCACATAGGTACACACACACACATTCCTCACATATCCACATAAGTACACACACCCCCGACACACATCCACATAGGTACACACACATACCCCTCAGACACATTCACATAGGTACACACACACCCCTCACACATCCACATAGATACACACACATGCACCCCTCAGACACATTCACAGATGTGAATGCACAGATGCACCACTCAAACAACAAAAATGCATACACCTCAAATGTACATGCATATGGTCCCCTCAGATACATATGAGTGCATGCATCTCTAACACATCCACCTATGTACATGCACATGAACACACCTGTGTATGCTTGCACGACGAACACATCTGCATAAGTATATGCTCATGCAGTCCTCAGGCATATGAGTGCATACACTTTACACACGTCCACACAGGTGCATGCACATGCACCCCTGAGACACACATGTATATATGCATGCACCTCAAACACACTCATGCAGTTACACACACATGCACCTCTCAGACACACACACGTGTGTGGTCATCTCCAACCTATCGACATAGACACAAACACATGCAGTCCTCAAGTGCAAACGTGTGTACACATCGTAAACATGGACACTCAAACCCATGTGTTTGCACATCTCAAATAGGTTTTCACAGATACCCACATGTACCGCTCAAATATATCCACACATACCGACACATCTGAAACGTACACAAATACACACATACACATGCACACAGGTGCATATGCCCTTTCCTTTGCAAGAGTGCCTTTTTGAGCAGTGCTAGTCACTTTTTAGTGACCTGTGTCCACTCTCATCTACTTCCTGCCGTAAGGATATGGGTGCTTGATGATTTGCCTCTCTCTTGACTTCTGCAATGAAAGAATCAAACATGGGGTGGCAGCCCCTGTGGCTTCTTTACTACACAGATGATTGAAGGGTGCCTACCTTATCCCAGACTAGGGTGCAGTGGCTTCAACAGACCCACCTGGCACCTGCCTTGGGTTCATTCAAGGGAGATAGAAGATCTCTGTATGGATGTACATTGGATAGGGAAATGGGAGCATGAGGATGTAGGTAAAGCAATTGAATCTTTTCTCCAGAAGAAAGTAGGAAGAAATAGCTAACTCTGATGCCCATCTCTGTTGCAGCCTCTATCCTGACTCACACTTAGGGGTCAAAGCACAAGTGAGTTGCTGGATCAGAGGCTCAAGACTGCTCAATGCCAACAGTACCAATAATGGATGTTCACAAATCCTGGGCTGTTTGCAAAAATGCTTCTTCCTTCATTAGGCTGTCTCTATCATCACAATCATCTTGTAATAAAAATGGGACAGGTATTAACTAAAGGGCTTATTTTATAGATGAGGAATCTGTGGCTCAGGTAAGGTGAGCAACTTGCCAAGTGTATTAGTCAGGGTCGGCTAATTGCTGTAACAAACATCCCCAGATCTCAGTGGGTTAGCTCAGTAAGAGTTTTCCAAATATGCCCTCTTCAGTGAGACTCAGCAGGGATGCTCTGCTTGATGCAGTAGAGTCCAGGAACCAGGCTGCTTCTGCCTGCGACTCTGCTGTCCTCAAGCCACTTGCAGTTTCTTGATTTGGCTGATCAGTGGAGAAGAACAGGTGAGGGTTGTTTGTGGAATGCTTTTTCTAGGCCAGGTCGGGAGGCAGCACACATTACCTCGGTTCATATTCCTTAGGTTAGACTAGAGACACACAGCTATAGCTAGCAACAAAGGAGCCTGGGAAATGTAGTTCAGGAAGAAGAGGGAAATGCAGACATTGGTGGGCCCTGGCAGTTTCCACTACACCCAGAATTATACAACTAATGGAGGCGGAATCAGTTCTCAGACCTGAGTTTTTCATTCCGGTGACTGTGCATTCCCCTTCTAGCATGTTTCTTTGAAGTGTAAAGCTTTACCAACAGAACACTGCTCCTGGTCTATGTTCTAGGTCTGGAAGCTCTTACATTTATAAGAATGTAATGATAATGACGGTAATATCTAATGATTTATTGGGCTCCTATCTATTCTATTGTGTACACTCTCTCATTTCATTCTCTCCACCACCCCGTAAGGTATGTAGATAACACTACCTTCTCTAATCTACCTTAGAGCGATTAAGCAGCTTGTCTGAGGTTGTGGGAAAGAGAGATGGTGAGTCCAGAACTTCCTGGCTCCCGTCTCCCATCTATCTCCTATGTTGCTATGGCTCCCACTGGGTTTGGGGTTGGAGGTAGGGTAGGTGGAGAGTGAGCCTTCTCTGCCCGGCAAGGCAGAGATTCCTGGTGAAACTTAAGTAGGATGCTAATAATGTCAGGAGTGGGCAGAGTCCTTGCAGCTCTGGGGAACATTTGAAACCATGTGCAAGCCTAGGCCATTGTAGCTCGGTTTAGTTGATAACCATATACCTGGAATATTGGTGGTGCTGGGAATCGATTTCTCATTATACGACCTTGAGCAAAGCATCCTGGGTTAGGAGTCAAGAGCCTTCTAACCATAATTAACTATGTACCTTTGGGCATCTCACTGAAAGTCTGTGGGGTTCAGTACCACCACCCTCTTTCCCCTGTGAATTGGAGATTGTCACCACTATCATCATTCCAGACCTTTCAAGCTGCGATGGGCTCCTGATTAGTCTTCCCAGCACCACATAACTCCTCTTCAAATCCTTCCTGCACATCCCTGACAGATTAGTCGTCTCAGTTGCACACATACATTTTCACCGTGTCTTTCTTCTGCTCAACAACTTCACGACTCTTTATTACCATAAAGCCCAAACTCCTTCGTGGAGCCCTTTCTTTATATTCCGTCCCCAGCTTACCTGTCCAAATGATCCATCCTTGACTCCCCTGAGCACAGCAAATGCTCCTGCCAGGCTGTCCTTTTTCTTCCCCGGGGATCCTCATTGCAGGGTGGTTCTCCTTCCTGCCTACCTGTTTACACCTCTAAGATCCTTCTCTTAACACCACGATCATCTTCATTCTCACGTCACTGCACTAATGCTCCATGCCTCCACACAGCACTTCCCTTGGAGGCTCATTTGGTGATGGGGACATCTACAAATGTGTCTTAACCTCTTCACTAGATTGTGAGTTTCATGAGGGTGAGAGCTGAGTCTTGCACAGTTCATACCTTTGGATAGAACCGTCCTCAGGCAAAAGTTAACACATGAAAGAATGATCAGAAGATGAGAGAGTTTTTGTGCTACGCAAATGAAAGGTTTGGCTTAGAGGCCAGCATTAAAGTTGTTTTGATTGCTTCCTGTCAGCCAGCAATCAGGAGACAGCTCCCACATCTTGGCAAGCTGGTAACCCTCTGTATCTGTCTTCAAAGTTATGTAGAGGGGATCTCAAATCAGAACCTCATGGCACTTTTGGTGGTACTTTCTTTGCCTACTGGGGGAATAAGCCCAGGCCTCCAGCAAGCTAACCTATCAGGTAGAAGCAAGCTGGGTGTGTACATTGGGGAGCTCCTCAAATTGAGCTCTCTTGGCTTTTTGCCCATACCCAGCCCCTCCACACCAGGCCAAACTGTAGGCTGAAGCCAGTGGAGAAAGTAATAGATTGAAACTAGGATGCTCAGGTTAAGTGGGCCGCTTTGTGGAGCTCATCCATAATCCTGCAGGAGCCCAGAGAACAATACGTTAATTAGAGCCGACGGCACCGCTCCTACCAGCCATCCATCCTGCCTGTGTCTGCTGGGCCTTCCCTGTGGACATGCCAGCCCACTCGCTACTCTGAAAGAGATTTATTCATTATCAATGTTTGTCTGAAAGAAAGGGACCTGGTGGGGAGGGAGTGAGATTCCAAGAGAAATGGGATATGAAAGAGGTGGAGCCGAGCCTGCTGGCAGCTGACAAATGGGTGTGTTTGGGGCTGGAAAGATGGGGTGTTCCCAATTAGGAGGATAAGGTGAGTCCACCTGGTTGGGGAGGGGGAGAAGTCAGTCAGATGAAATTAGAAGATGTTCAGTAAATTTGTCCAGCAGGAAGTGGTCCTCGCTGGAGTTTTGGGTTTGAACCTAGCTCACTTTGAGCCCCAAATGATGGGGAAAGAAGGTAGGGAAGAGGAAGTTCACTTGCCTAATATCTATCCCAGTGCTTGCACTCAGAGAGCACTGAAAAAGTGCTTGTTGGGTGAATAATTAAACGACAGGGGGGTTTAAAGCCAGAGGGATTTAGGTCAGATATCATGAGGAACTCATTACCAGTGAGCAAAGAGAAATACAAACCAGGGAGACCAAGAACAGGTCCTGAGATTTTTACCCAAGAGTTCTTTGAGAGAAGGGGAGACACATTTCATTTTTCCCAGAGCCTATTATCTGTGTGTCATGTAGATTCTGGAGAATATGGGAGATGATCAGCCCTCCTGAAGTTAACATGGCAGCCTGGAGAGGAGAGGGATAACAAAGGACCGGTTGGGCTGAGGTCCACTGACCAAAGCTCCATAGAGAATGATCCTGAGGGAGCAGTGGACACAGTCACTGCTGCATAGACTCATCTTGCAGAAGGTGTCTCAAGGGCTGTAGCTCCTTCTCCATCCAAATGGAGAAAGTGAGGCTGAAGTGGGGAAGAGACTTGCCTAAAGTCCCACAACTGGTTCATCCCAGAACCTCGCTGTTCCAGCTGTGACATTAGGGAGGGCCTGTCACCTAGAGGTGACATCATGTAGATGTTTGAGAAGTGCATCAAGTAGATCCTGTGCCTAGTGCCTAGGAGGCAACGTAGTGTTTTGGGGAGATAACTAATGTGGTGAGTTGTCAATTCTAGCGCTGCTTTTCTATTAACTGGCTGGGTCACATCATCACGCCACTTAGTCCCTCTGGGTTTTAGTTTACTCACTTTCTTTTCTTAATGTTTGAGATGGAGTTTCACAGGCTAGAGTGCAGTGGCACAATTTCAGCTCACTGCAACCTCCACCTCCTAAGTTCAAATGATTCTCTTGTCTTAGCTTCCTGAGTAGCTGGGATTGCAGATGCCTGCCATGATGCCTGGCGAATTTTTGTACTTTTAGTGGAGACAGCATTTCACCATGTTGACCAGGCTGGTCTCGAACTCCTGACCTCAGGTGATCTGCCTGCCTCGACCTCCCAAAGTGCTGGAATTACAGACGTGAACTACCATTCCCAGCCAGTTTACTCACTTTTAAACACAAAATGATTGAGCAAGATTAGTGATGTTTAAGCTTTAGCAATCTCAGAATCCCCTGGAGAAAGGCAGATTCCTGGAGGCGGTCCCCAGAGTTCTGTGAAGGGGCTGATAATTTGCATTTCCAGTAGTTTCCCAGTTGATAATGGTCCTGCCAGTCTGGGGACCATACGAACTGCATGACCAGGCGACTTCCTCTACAGTTCCTTCTGATTCAGATATTTAATGGGATATCCCCCCTTTTCCAAATGCCTTCCATTGGTAAGAAGAATCTCTTGACTCCCCAGTGCATGCCTCTTCTGGGTGGCACCGGCTTGTCCCTGACATTTCTGGCTTCCCCTCCTGCTCCAGGCAGTTAATGCCATTTTCCCCACATACTCAGGATTGATGATCTAAGTCTTAGAAAATGCACGGAAGGCAATACAGGCAAAGTATTATCAACAAGATTTAAGAAGAGTCCTACGAAACACAGCAATAAAACCTGGAAATAACTATCCGTTTCCTACCAACAAAACATCTCATTTCCGAGTCCATAAACACTCCCCCCTCTAGATCCCCAGACCCATCTGTTTTGTAAGCCTGTATAATTATTAGAAACATAAAGTCAGTTTCTATACCTAATGTAATTATCGGGAGCCAAAATAGTATCAGGTGAAGGAGGGGGAGAGGAGGAGGCTTGCTCACTGCAAACTCAGACTATTTCTTTAAAGAGGGAGAAGTAGTCACATGAGAAGATAACGATTCTTTATGGTGATATTATACTTCCTGTGCAGACTTTGGGGGCAACTTTGCAAATAAGACTGAGCTGGCTCATTTCAAAGCCAAGAGCGGTTTCCTGCCTTGTAAGGTGAGTTTAGGCCCTGTTGGGAACGAGAAATTAGGATCACCATGCTTCCTCTGTGGCCAACCTTCAGATTCTCTGGAGGCTCGGCGAGCATGGCCTTCCTTCCGGAGGCACTGCCAAAGTTAGTTCAAGCCTTTCCTTCCCTTTGCACTGCCTCCGGAGGGGAAAAGAGAGTTTGTAAAGGCACTCTGAGATTTTAGCCAGCTGGGGATTCCTGGTTCACAATGAATTCAGGACAATTGTCTCTGTGTCCTCCAGTGTCTCAGGGGAGCTAGCTAGTCACCTGCTGAATAGGTGAGGAAGTGAATAGATGGAATCAGGCATGACTGTGGAAGGTACACATGATAACAGGAATTGTTAGCAAAGGTGAAGGAGAGCATCCTCCTTCTCTTCGGATGGCGTATTTGTGACAGTGTGTTGGGGCGGGGCAGAATAAGGACCAATGAGGCTGATTTTGGTTTACTTTATAATAAGCAAAATAACATTTTGACCAGGAGAGCTTTCACCCTTTGCGTGGTGGTGAGTTCTCTGCCACTAGAGATTTTCAAACAGAGCCAGGGCAACCCTTTCCCATGAGGGTTATCTAGGACCTGGGTATGTTAGGTAGGAAGGAAGTGCATGAGGATGAGGGTCACAAAGAATATTTATCAAGTATCTACCTATTGTGCGCCTGACTCTATACTAATGTCATTTAATCCCCTCGCCACACCCATAATGTAGATGCTCAAACCCCTATTTTAAAAATCAAGCAAGCTCAGAGATATTTATGTCACTAGTCTATGTCACCCAGCTAGTGGGAAATACAGCTCGGATCGAAACCTAGGTCTGCCTGCTCCAAGTATATCTGTCTTCCACAGTGCCTTGAAAAATACTGTCGGATTTTTAGGCTTCAGAGTCTTCAGTGCACTTATTGGAACTGAACTTGATGTGCCTGGCTCCTGCAAACACAGGCTGCTGCCACCACTGGCTAAGATGTTGCTCCGTCTTCTGGATCCATCACTGAGAATTCAAAGCTCTTGTAAGAGGGCCCGTGGTGGGGAGGACTGTTGTCAGTGCCATTCTTTTGCTTTGAATTTGTTTGTTAAGCCGCCCTAGCATCTTCCCCTCTGCAGATTTGCTTGTCTGCCAGAATCCCAAATCAACCTGATGGCTTAGGGATTTCACTCTATGATCTGAAAATCCATGTTCCTTCTTCCCCTTCCCTACCCCTGGGAGTGGGCTCCTTTCTTCAGCTATTGCACGGACTGCTTTCAGGGCTGATGGGAGGAGCGTTTCAGCTGGGTGGGGGCAGATGGCCGCATTGTCGTTAATGTCTAGTGATGGGAGAATCCCAAAGGCGCTGGTGTTGCAGTCTGGAGACAGCTAGAAAGCCGGGCCGACATGCTTTCTGAAGCGTCCCGGCAGCCTTTGGAGGCAGCTTCGCGTGAGTGCATTTAACTCTCATCTTTGTCCCTTGTTCTCATGCCAGCCTTCTCTGTATGCCCACCAGATTCCTTCCTGTCTGTGTGACTCCATGCCCTGTCTCTGTCCCTCCTTGGAACTGCATGGTAGGGACTCCTTCCTTGTGTGATGGGGGAGCAGACACTAAGGAGAGGAGAAGGGGCGGGGCACAGCTAGGCAGCTGGTGCTGGCCACCACCTTTCCCTTCTGAGCCCACCCGTTTCCTTTTGCCTCCGCTTGCTTTTGCCTCCAATTCCTTCCAGTACAGCTTTCCGTCATGCTGGGGCAGGTCCAGCGAGAGGAGGGCACCAGCCAGGCCTCTGGGAGGGCATCTGCTTCTGCTGATAAGTACCCCTGTCTTTCTCCTCCTCTTCAGCAGGGTGGAGATGCCCTCCCCCATGAGCCGTGGAATTAAAACAGGGAACTGGGCTCTGGCAACTGGCCTTCTCCCTGGCACCAGGCCTGCTCTGTCTCCATGGATTTCTCTCTCTGAGAGCCACTGTTTCCTGATTAAAAATGATTTCTTCTTGCATAGCAAACTAAGGCCTTGCCTGGAGTCCACCCCCAAAGTGAGACAGAAAGTTGGAATTCCAGGGTCCCAGGACAATCAATAGGAAAGAAAGACCCTGCTGTCTGAGAATCCGTTCCCCTCCAGGCCAAGGGGAGGTTTGAGAGCAGAGGGGTGCATGGGGGGCGAACCTGATCCTACCTGCCTCCGACCTGTGGTTTACCTGTCTAGCCCAGTGTATGAGTTGGCTAGGGCTGCCTAACAAAGCACCCCAGACTGGTGGCTTACATAATAGGACTGTGTTGTCTCACAGGTCTGGATGCCAGAAGTCTGAAATCAAGGTGTCAGCAGGGTTGGTTCCTCCCAAGGGGTGTTAGGGGAAGGATTGGTCCAGGATCTCACCTCAGCTGCCCATGGCCATCTTCTCCCTATGTCTCTTCACATCATTTTTCCTCTGTGTGTGTCCCTGTGTCCACATTTCCCCCTTTTTCTAAGGACACCAGTTCTATTAGTCTGCTTGGACTGCTGTAACAAAATACCACAAACTATGTGGCTTAAACAGGAGAAACTTATTTCCCACAGTCCTGGAGGCTGGAAATCCAAGCTCAAGGTGTCATCAGGGTCCATTTCTGGCAAGGACTCTTCCTGGCTTGCAGACAGCTGCCTTCTGACTGCGTCCTCATATGGAATGGAGAGAGAGCTCTTGTGACTCTTCCTCTACTTACAGGGGCATGAGCCCTGTCAGATTAGGGGCGCACGAGCCCTGTCAGATTAGGGGTGCATGAGCCCTGTCAGATTAGGGGCACATGAGCCCTGTCAGATTAGGGGTACATGCTTATGACTTCATTTAATCTTTACAACCTCCTCATGGGCCCTATCCCCAAATACAGTGACACTAGGAGCTCGGCTTTTAACATATGAATTTTGGAGGAGTGACACATCCAAAGTCCATAGCACCAGACATATGGGATTAGAGGCCATCCTAATGACCCCACTTTAGCTTAGTGATCTCTGTAAACACCCTATCTCCAAATCAGGTCATATTTGGAGGCCTTGGGAACTAGGACTTTGACATACAAATTTTGGGGAGACAATTCGACTCCTAATACTCTGGGTCTTCCTGGCTTACTCTAGCACCCTGGAATTCATTACAAAAGAGGTTGGTGGCTCAAATGTGTCCCCCTTCACAGAAACAATCTGCTGGGTTTTTCTGGGGGAAGGGGTGGGCAGAGTCCCCTCAGGAGCTCCCTGTGTCGAGGCTGAACCCCGTGGGCACCCCAGGCTCTGCTCAGCAGTCCCATCTTATGTCTTACCAGCTCCACTCCCTGCTGCCATTCCTGCACCTGTGCTGTCAGCTTTCCAACTACCCCTGCTGACTCATCTCTGAACCACAGCATTCAGCTGGTCATTGTAGGTCTCCCTGAAGATATCTGGGCAGAGCCTGCTGGAGAGTGAGAAGGAGCACATTTTAGATGTTGCTGGGCATGGGGCATGTGGGGAGGGACATAGAAGTGGGAAAGAGGTGGAGGAGAGGAGTGAGAGAAGAGACCAGTAGGAATTAGATCCTCTTTCATCCCAAACTTGCTGTCACAGCCAGGAAGAAAACCCTTATCCCACTTTTTCTTCATAATAGGTTTATTGCAAAAACATTTCAAACAAGACAGATACTGTTTTCTTTTAAATCTTTATTTAAAGTACATAAAGATGAGAATTTTCTTTTCTAGGTTGAGTAGCCCTCATGTCTTTATAATTCTCCCATCATTTCCTGCTGGAGATGGAGAACACAGACCATTGCGATCAGGAGGCCCTCCAGTTGCACCATGGCTCTAAATTATGGAGCTGGGCCAGGCTTTTGGGAATCTTTCTCTTTGTTCCTTTGGGTGACCCACACCCTGTTCTTGCCACTCCTGCTTTGGATGAATCCCAGGTTTCTCTAGTGTGCCTTCCCTGTCTTGTCTTCCTCCCTCCTCATTCACACACATCTTGGCTTTATGGTACGAAGAGATCACAGGGTTGGGAAACAGAGAATTCACCTTGCCTGCCATTGATCTAAGTGGGTAAAGGCAGAAAGGAAGGCTTATGGCGATGACGAATGTCCTAAGGCTCCTTTCCCCCTGGGGACACTGCACGGGACAACATCTATGGAGAATGACCACATCACACCCTCACTGTCTCTGTCTTAAAATCATAGCCTCTGAGAGTTGGAAGGGTCTTTGGAAAACAGAACTCATCTTCCTACTATCCCCTTGATGGATGCTGGATGGGGCTTGGGGAGGAAAACAGGGAGGGCACATTGGAGAGTCCTGGGATTCATCCAAGTCAAGAATCCACATGTATGCCAGATAGGGCCTGGTTTTTCTGCATTCCAGGCTGGGGCTTCTCCCTCCTTCTCCCATCTATGGCTCATCCCATGGTTGGGCAGCTCAGGGTGTTCAAATATCTTTTCCACTGTTGAATAAGAATCTTCCTGTATTAGTCAGGGTTAGAAACAGCCAATAGTGTGTATATGTGTGTGTGTGTGTGTGTTACAAAGAGATTTATTTTAACAAATTGGCTCACATGATTATGAAGGCTGACAAGTCCCAAGCCTGCAGTCCCACATCTGTAGGCAAGCTGGAGATAATGGAAGAGCTGAGGTTGTAAGTTCCCGCCTGGGTCTGAAGGCCTGAGAACCAGGAGGGCTGATGGTATAGGTTCCAGTTTGGAAGCTGACAGGCTTGAGACCCAGGGGCAGCCAATGTTTTATGTCCAAAGGCAGGAAAAAGCTGATGTCCTGGAAGGCAATCAGGCAGAAAGAATTCTCTCTTACTAGGAGGAGGGCCAGCCTTTTGCTTTATTCAGGCCTTTAGCTGATTGGTTGAGGCCACTCCCGTTGGGGAGGAAATCTGCTTTGACTGGCTGCTGACTTTGCTTTATTCAGGCCTTTAGCTGATTGGGTGAGGCCACTCCCGTTGGGGAGGGAATCTGTTTTGACTGGCTGCTGACTTTGCTTTATTCAGGCCTTTAGCTGATTGGGTGAGGCCACTCCCGTTGGGGAGGGAATCTGTTTTGACTGGCTGCTGACTTTGCTTTATTCAGGCCTTTAGCTGATTGGGTGAGGCCACTCCCGTTGGGGAGGGAATCTGCTTTGACTGGCTGCTGACTTTGCTTTATTCAGGCCTTTAGCTGATTGGGTGAGGCCACTCCCGTTGGGGAGGGAATCTGTTTTGACTGGCTGCTGACTTTGCTTTATTCAGGCCTTTAGCTGATTGGGTGAGGCCACTCCCGTTGGGGAGGGAATCTGTTTTGACTGGCTGCTGACTTTGCTTTATTCAGGCCTTTAGCTGATTGGGTGAGGCCACTCCCGTTGGGGAGGGAATCTGTTTTGACTGGCTGCTGACTTTGCTTTATTCAGGCCTTTAGCTGATTGGGTGAGGCCACTCCCGTTGGGGAGGGAATCTGTTTTGACTGGCTGCTGACTTTGCTTTATTCAGGCCTTTTGCTGATTGGGTGAGGCCACTCCCGTTGGGGAGGGAATCTGCTTTGACTGGCTGCTGACTTTGCTTTATTCAGGCCTTTAGCTGATTGGGTGAGGCCACTCCCATTGGGGAGGGAATCTGTTTTGACTGGCTGCTGACTTTGCTTTATTCAGGCCTTTAGCTGATTGGGTGAGGCCACTCCCGTTGGGGAGGGAATCTGTTTTGACTGGCTGCTGACTTGCTTTATTCAGGCCTTTAGCTGATTGGGTGAGGCCACTCCCGTTGGGGAGGGAATCTGTTTTGACTGGCTGCTGACTTTGCTTTATTCAGGCCTTTAGCTGATTGGGTGAGGCCACTCCCGTTGGGGAGGGAATCTGTTTTGACTGGCTGCTGACTTTGCTTTATTCAGGCCTTTAGCTGATTGGGTGAGGCCACTCCCGTTGGGGAGGGAATCTGCTTTGACTGGCTGCTGACTTTGCTTTATTCAGGCCTTTAGCTGATTGGGTGAGGCCACTCCCGTTGGGGAGGGAATCTGTTTGACTGGCTGCTGACTTTGCTTTATTCAGGCCTTTAGCTGATTGGGTGAGGCCACTCCCGTTGGGGAGGAAATCTGCTTTGACTGGCTGCTGACTTTGCTTTATTCAGGCCTTTAGCTGATTGGGTGAGACCACTCCCGTTGGGGAGGAAATCTGCTTTGACTGGCTGCTGACTTTGCTTTATTCAGGCCTTTAGCTGATTGGGTGAGGCCACTCCCGTTGGGGAGGGAATCTGTTTTGACTGGCTGCTGACTTTGCTTATTCAGGCCTTTAGCTGATTGGGTGAGACCACTCCCGTTGGGGAGGAAATCTGCTTTGACTGGCTGCTGACTTTGCTTTATTCAGGCCTTTAGCTGATTGGGTGAGGCCACTCCCGTTGGGGAGGGAATCTGTTTTGACTGGCTGCTGACTTTGCTTTATTCAGGCCTTTAGCTGATTGGGTGAGGCCACTCCCGTTGGGGAGGAAATCTGCTTTGACTGGCTGCTGACTTTGCTTTATTCAGGCCTTTAGCTGATTGGGTGAGGCCACTCACGTTGGGGAGGGAATCTGTTTTGACTGGCTGCTGACTTTGCTTTATTCAGGCCTTTAGCTGATTGGGTGAGGCCACTCCCGTTGGGGAGGAAATCTGCTTTGACTGGCTGCTGACTTTGCTTTATTCAGGCCTTTAGCTGATTGGGTGAGGCCACTCACGTTGGGGAGGGAATCTGTTTTGACTGGCTGCTGACTTTGCTTTATTCAGGCCTTTAGCTGATTGGGTGAGGCCACTCCCGTTGGGGAGGAAATCTGCTTTGACTGGCTGCTGACTTTGCTTTATTCAGGCCTTTAGCTGATTGGGTGAGGCCACTCCCGTTGGGGAGGGAATCTGTTTTGACTGGCTGCTGACTCTAATGTTAATCTCATCCCTAAACACTCTCCACAGAAACACCCAGAATCACGTTGAACCAAATATTTGGGCACCTTGTGACTCAGCCAAGTTGACACATAAAATTAACCACCACCCTTTCTTTCTGTTGCTCCCCAGTTAGCCTAGTCTTCCTTATCTGGTCTTCTAGGGAGGGCTAGCCCTCAAGGGGCCCCAGTGTCCAGCTCAGCCCACTGCTCCTAGGAGGAGGCCTGGGTGCCCCAGCTGGAAGATGCCTCAATTTCCATTCAGTTGCCTCTCCCCATAGGGCAGTGGCTGGCTCCCCTTACCTCAGCTGGACCAGAGGGGCCATCTGCCCTGCCCTCCCTCCCCCAGCACATCCAGGTGTGGCGCTTGGCTGGCACACATCAGGGTGCTGTGGCCAGAGAGGGTGATGCTGGTTGGCCTCTGCCTGGATCTAAAAACAAATGACTGAGGGAGGAGGGCTCTTCTCCATTCTTGGTAAATCACAGAAGTCACAGTGATTGAGGTCAATAAGAATCCTGGGACTGATCTTTGGAGGAAGGAAGTAAGAAGGCTCATTTCTGTCTCTGTTCCCTGTCCCTAAGAGTCACTAGTAGGGGCCTCAAAGATCGGGGGAAGAGGGCTACCTACTAGATGCCAGAGGCTTAAGCATATCATATCCTGTAAGCTACACAAACACCTAGCATGGGCCAGTCAGTCTCAGCTCTATTTTAACCACAAGGACACTAATGCATGGAGAGTTGATGTCACAAGCACAGAGTCAAATAGCTGCAAACTGCCAGGATTTGAATCCAGCACTGATCTATTCCAAACCCTCCTTTTTCTGCTACATCTTGGGTTGTTATGTGCCTGTGCAGGCTCTATGATCTATTCTGCCTAAAGGTAGAAGGGCAATAATCAGTTTCAACATAATTCTAACAATAACAATTTAGCTCTGCCCAGCTAGTAGCCAGCATGGGGGGGGGGGTCACTGCAGGTTTGACATTGCTGTGTCATCTTCAGTAGCTAATGAATGAAGAAACTGGGGGACATGGCTACTGAAGGCCATCTTTTCCAGGTCTGGGATCCTAGACATGACGCAGGAGGATCTCCAGAGCAGGTAGCCCGAGGCACCTCATTTTTGCAGCATCAAGGAAAGGGAGAGGTAGAGGAATGAGAGGCCTGCTGCCCCAGAGTCTCACGGTCTGCAGTCCCTCCCCCAGTTATGGGAGGGCAAGATCTTGCTGGCAGAGGTGATGTAGACAGGAGCCTTTGCAAAGGGCACAGCAGAAGTGGAGCCCAGCCTCCTGTTTGCTTGGGACATAGCTAGCCTGTGTTCTGCAGAGACTCCAAAGAGGAGGGCAAACAAGGGGATTTTCGGATGGTCTTTGCTGCTTTCTCCTTTGTTTTCTCTTACGGGAAGCAGCAGCGGCTGTGGGTCTTCTAAATGTTGGTCTGGAGGAGTCAGGCACAGGAAGCTGGAGGGGCAATGGCTTATGTGAGATGAGGAGACTGAAGTCGTGTTAAGCTGAGCTGTGAAGTGATTGACTTGCGCCCTGCTCAGAGAAGCTCCGGCTTCTCTGGAGGGAGTGTGAGCTGACCTTTCTGGATCCCCTTGCTCCTCTTATAATGGACTCTTTAACAGGCACTGTTATCAATATGGAGAGTCTTGGGCTGGAGGGATCCAAAGTGAATCACTCAGACACTCCTTGAATACCTGTGGAGACGGGAAACTCACTGTCTTCCAAGGCAGCTCATTTCATCTTTGCACAGCTCCTTCCTAGGCCAGCAGTCTCCTAGGATCTTCTGTTCATCATTCCAGGGTCTTCGGAGCCCTGTAGTGTTTCTTGTCATTGCTTTGTGGCACTGCTGACCATTCCTCTTTTCCTCTGACCCCACATGTGCATTTGACGTGAAGCGCCATGATAGTCCTCTGGGAATGTGACCCAGTGCTCTGTGATTACTTGTAATTGTTGTTTCATTTCCTCAGCTGGATTGCTAGCTGCCTTCAGCGGGGACCAGACCGTCTCTACCCACATATTCACTACTAGCGGCTGAGCAGATGGCAAGCGCTTAATCACTGCATGGTGGAAAGAAGGAAGTAAGGAAGGGAGGGAGGAGGGAGGGAGGAAAGACTTGTCCTCAACATCTTTGTCTGCCAGACAATAGGTCCCACCCAGATAAGGGTTCCCTGTGGCAGTCTGTTGCTCCTGTCTGGCAGGTACTCTGGCATAGAAAACAGCTCTGGGCTTTAGCCTCACTAACTGGGTTCCAGTTGGGCCTTTGTATTTTCGAACCCAGCAAGCTTGGGGAAGCTATTTCTATGAGCCCCAGTTTCCACTCTGTAAGAGGGAATAATCATCACTCCCTTCATATAGGGTTGTTGTGAGGATAAAATCAGATCAAGGGACCTCATGTCCTCTGTAAACTGGGTTTCCTTAGGAATAGAGGTTTAGCATATGGGGAATCAGGATTCCCGAAATAATAATGCCATTATCATTGGATTAATGTCTACTGTGTGTTAACTGCTGAGTCATTTCTTTACAGACGTTGTTTCAGGGTATAGTTTATAAGGTGGGCAGTTTGGTGATGATGAAACAGAGGTTTGGAAAGGTTAAGTGACTTGAAAAACTAGAATTTGAACCTAGGTTCCCAATGGTCTCCAAGCCCAAATAATCTTCTCTCCACTTCAAGCTACTTTCCCTTAAGGCCAATATGGGTCATGCAGGAGTAGAAGGGTCGATGTGGTCATGGTGATGGGTGTTGGACTCAAAGACTCTGGAAAAGACTTTTTTTTTCTTTTTTGAGATGGAATCTTGCTCTATCCCCCAGACTGGAGTACAGTGGTGCGATCTTGGCACACTGCAACCTCTGCCTCCCAGGTTCAAGTGATTCCCCTGCCTCAGCCTCCCAAGTAGCTGAGATTACAGGCGTGCGTCACCGCATCTGGCTAATTTTTGTATTTTTAGTAGAGATGGGGTTTTACCATATTGGCCAGGTTGGTCTTGAACTTCTGACCTCGTGATCCACCTGCCTTGGCCTTCTAAAGTGCTAGGATTACAGGTGTGAGCCACTGCACCCAGCATAAAAGAGTCTTTTTTTTTTTTTTTTTTTTTAAAGACAGAATCTTGCTCTATCACCAGGCTAGAGTCCAGTGGTGCAATCTTGGTTCACTGCAACCTCTGCCTCCTGGGTTCAAGTGATTCTTCCGCCTCAGCCTCCCGAGTAGCTGGGATCACAGGCACGCGCCACCATGCCTAGCTAACTTTTTTGTATTTTTAGCAGAGACAGGGTTTCACCATGTTGGCCAGGATGGTCTCGATCTCTTGACCTCGTGATCTGCCTGCCTCGGCCTCCCAAAGTGCTGGGATTACAGGCGTGAGCCACCGCGCCTGTCCCGAAAAGACTCTTAAATCCTGTGACTTTATCGTTTTCCCACTACACAGGGTAAAGCAAATACTCAAGCCTCATTCTTTTACTGGTTTCACAAATCTTTCCCTTGCTCCCTTGCCCTAAGTGAGTCATTTGCAGTTGGATTCTGGTCTGCAGCCAGGTGCTGTTTCTTTTTCAAGGAAACAGGGGTGGCTGTGTAAAGACGAGGGTTCCCAGGAGTGCTCAGTGTGTATGCCGGGTGTGTGTGTGGGGTATGTGGTAAGGTGGAACAAGGCGAGGAAGATACACCTTTAGGCAGTAACCAATTGATCATTTGATAAACTTTATTGAGCACTTATATGTGCCAGGAGCTGTGCTGAACTCCACAGGGCTGAAGACATGGGCTCTGGTCTCCAGAGGCTTATAGATTGGTGAGGAAGACAGGATTCAAGGCAGATGAAAAAGCTCCTTATGCTTATGGATGGTAGAGGAGCAGACTGGAGCGGAAGGGAGGGGAGGAGAAGGGAAGGGAGGGAAGGGGAGGGGAGGGAAGGACGGGGGAGGGGGAAAGGAGGAGTGGGGGCATGCTGTTGGGGAGAGAGGAGCAAGTCTTTACCCAGGGGGTGGTGGGCAGGGGGCAGTACACCCATGTCCCTCTCCAGAATTCTTTACCCCAGCGGCCCCCTTAGGCCTGGTTCTCAGTTTAAGTCAAATAATTTTGGTCCCTAGTTGCCTCCTGCCTGCCACTTTCCAACTCAATCATTCTTTGAAATTTGGAGCTGTAGCTAAAACGCCTTTGCCCTGTAACAGGATTTTCACAGTCTCCACAGCAGCGGCTAACGTCGCTCATCACCTGCTGTTGTAATCTGCACCGCTAAGCCCTCGGCTAGAGGCAAAAAGCTTAACTCGCCGTGCTGCTTCGAGCTTGCTCTTCCTGGCATCCGAGCCATATTTCAGTCAGGGGAGCTAATCCGCCCCCCCACCCAACTGCACACACAGAGACATTTCAAAGGAAACACAAATGGCAAAGGGAGCTGTGGCTCCTTCTGGGAGGGGCTCTGAGAGCCAAGCTCCCCAGACCTAATGGGCAACAGAAAGTGCGTCCTGGCGACTGTGAGGAAAACCATTCTTCATGCCTTCTCCTGAAGGGTTTGGTGGGAGAGCTGAAGGGCTGATTTTCCCGAAGACTGTGTTTTAAGGGCTGGCCGGGCCTCAGTGGCCACACTGGGAAAGTCAGCTTTGTTAAAAGGAATATGTAGTGAGCTGTGAGCGGGGGGCGTATCCGTGTATGCCTTGACTCGTGCCTGATGAACTCAACACCTCCCATCTTTCCTAAAAGCATAATCCCCAGTGTGTTTTTTGTTTTTCCTTCTACCTCTGTCTTAATACTTTATGTCCCAGAGAGCCAGAACCCAGAGCACTTGGGAAGAGTGCTTGCCACGTAGTAGGAGTTCACCAACTGCTTGTCGAATGGGTGAGTACCAGCACTGGAGATCAGCTTTGTTCCAGCCATGGTGCTGTGTGCTTAAACATGTGGGTATAAGTGGAAAAGCAAACCAGAAACAGGAAAGAGTCACAGACTCCTAAGAGGCAGGGGGCTGATGAAACCTAATACGTGCCAGGTGTTTTTTATAGATGCTGGGGAGACAGCCGTGAAACACGGAGACTTAAATTCCTACCCTGGTTCTAGTGGAAGGCATTGGACCAAGACTGACCAGTGAGCAGATTTTTGCTAAACCTAAGAAATGACTTTCTGAGAACTAGAACTGTCCAGCAGTGTCATGTGTGGTCGTGTGAGGTAGTCAGCTCCCTGTTCCAGGAAGAGTTTGATCAGAGGCAACATGAGCATACCTGGGGATGCAGAGGAGGGGGAGCAGATCCTATGGCTGCCCATATCCCCTTCCCTTATTTCTGCAGTGCGCACTGGCCAGCTTTTTGCAGCCAGCACCTGCATTTCTCTGCCTGAGAGGCTTCTCTGCCCCCAGAGTCTATTTTGCTGCCCACTCATCAACTGGAAATGCGAGGGAATTAATGCCCACACCCTTTCCCTGGGAAAGGAGCCCTCAAGTGATGACTGACTGGAGCTGGTACACAAATGTCCCAGTTCCCATGTCCCTTGGATGGGTTCACACCAAGGCAAATGTTTTCCACTGTTTCTCAGATTTCCCGGCAGGATTAAGCAGGGGTTCCCCACAGTGTAAACTTGCTGGATAAGGAATCCTTCACTGGCTGCCTTCCTGCCCCGTACCTCTTCCCCACTTCCTTTCTGACGTTTCCTGATTACACCTCCAAAATGATGATTTGCATTTGGATCTTCATCTCCATGTCTGCTTCTGGGAGACCCCAAAGGAAGACAAGGGGACCCCTGCTCTGTATGGGTTCTGGGACCTCTGAGGATTCCCTCCTTCCAGTTCTAACACTTGATAACTGCCAAACTCCTACTGGGCTTTGGAAATGGCACCAGATTCAACCCAGAACTCCCTGTCCCAGCTTGGGGATTGGGCAGAGAACATTTCCTACTCATATGAGACAGCAGAGGATGCCAAACCTGCCTCCTTACCAGGTCAGGAGGTTCCCTGACAGCAGTCCACTAAGCCCCTTTTGGGGTAAGCCCCCTGACAGAAGTCTGCTAAGCCCCTTTTGGGATTACCCCAAAAGGGGTTTAGCAGACTGCTGTGCTCCATCAGAGCAGAGCTGTATCTTCTGAACCCAGAACCCTTCATCAAAGTTTGTTGATGTGGCTCTGCCTGATCTTTGCATCCCCTTAGCCTGTGCCAGTGCTAGCCAGGGCTGGGCCCTCAACACCTTCACTGCCAAGGTACTTCTGCTTCCCACAGATGTTGAGCCAGGAGCCAATCAGGGCTGGTCTATGGGCTTTATTATGACACCTGTCCAGAGAAAGTTCAGGGCATAGAACTGAGTGAGTATCAAGCTGGGCTCATTGTCTGCTACTGCCCAAGACCTGGCACCATAGGTCACAGGTACAGACAATAAAAACCACATTTTTGGGTGGAGAGGAGAGGAACACAGGTTGTTCAGCAGGTGTGGTGGACACTATCATACGCAGCCCAGCCCAGATCTCCTGACAATGAAGAACATGTTGACCAGCTGGGAAAGTCAGCAGACAGGCTTCCACGATCGGTCTCTACAGAGATCACTTCAGCTGCAGACAGCCTCGTGCCGGGGTTGTGCCCCTCTGGGGTGGCCCACAACCACTGACAGATTGATATGGGAATAGAAAGACCTGGCCATCTTGGCTGGATTCAGGATGGCCCCCAAGGGCCCTTCTCAGCTCCATAACTCCTTGTGGGGTGTGCCAAAGCTGCCTTTGGGCTGCATAAAAGCTGGATTCCTCCCTCTGCCCAGGCTCACTTCTTACCCTGCATGACCGCTGCTGTGGGTCCCATGCCACTTCTTATTAAACACCCCGCTGGCAAAACTCCATCTCAGGGGCTGCTCTCAGGCAACCTGACCTGTGACAGTGGGACATCGTCCCCACCTACTCAGCTAAGCCTCTGCGTCAGCCTGCCAAACTCTATTCCTTTCCAAATTGTCATCCCTACAGGAAGCTCTGCCTACCTTAAAGAGCTAGTCTCAAGCCCAGCCCAGCTCCTCCATTGGTCTTGGCAGGGAGGATCTATGGGCTGGCTGGTGAGAGTAGGGTAGCTGCTTCCTGCAGACCACACCCTCCCCCAAAACACACACATGGCACCATAATTAAGTCATATGCTGATGCCCCAGCTGCGCTCAGACACCTAGAAGGTGAAGCCATCACGGGCTCCGAAGCAGTGTCTCTGGATCTGAGGTGCATTCCTGCAGCTGGGACTGCAATGGGAGCTCGCTTTATTAGATCCCATTATAAATGGATGATTTGCCATCTCCGAAGATAAATGGGAAACTTAATGCAGAGGTATCCTATCTGGGGAAACTGGAGAGTTATGGATGTTAGCTTTGTAGCTTTATGAAAGCACTCTCTTATAGAAACTGAAATGACCAAGATTAGATTGAATTAGTATGTACTGGTATGAGCTTTTTCTCCCCCTATCCATCTTGACTTTTTTTTTTTTTAAGGCAGAAGATTTGCCTCCTGGGTGAGCATTTCAGAAAAATACAAATCCTGAGTTTGGGTTTGGTAATTAGCAGGATTGCCTCCTGGTGCTAACGAGGCAGCTACCCAGCTGGGACTGTCTATGTAGGTGGAGGAAGTGGCGCCCTCTGCTGGCTTCCTTTATGGGTGGTGTCTGCTCCCTTCCACCTGGGATCCCCCTTGGTACCAGGTGCTCTCTTCACCTGTCCTTGTAGAATGCAGATAGATTAGTGAGGCCTCTTGTCCAGCACCCAGGCTCCTGGCTACCCCATCCGAGGATGGGGATGCTCCATCCCATACAGACCCCACTCTCCAGCAGTGTTCCCTAGGCTGAGCTTGAGAACCAGCTCCTAGCTGGGTGGTGAGGCTTTCTGCCAGCAAACAGCTCCATCTGATATGTATGTTAGAGCACTTGTGATACCAAGCACAAGGCTAGGCACTGGAGGCATTAAGATGAGGAGACTAAGGTTCTTGCCCTTCAGGAGAACCATCTAACTGAGGGGAGGAAGGCATATGTAGATGATTTCCAAACGGGCACTCTTTGTACCTTCTGCCTTGATGGACATGTTCTCTATCTTTGCTGACCACAGGAAGTGCAGTAGCCATGAACTTCCTGTGGTCCCCTGGAGATAATAAGAATGGGAGTCGGGAAAGGAATTCTAGGGTTGGTTCTTAAGCCAACCATCCTGGGATCTCAGGCAAATCATATCTGTGATTTGAACCCCAGTTTCATTTTTTCTTGTTAAAACTTGCTCTGCTTCTCTACAATATTAGAACCAAGAGATCTAATCTTCACTTGGCCCACTTTTCACCTGATGGAGGGAGGAGCAGAGGCTGTAACCTGCCTGATCTCATGGCTGTGAAGGGCAGAATCAGGCCCTTAACTCCTCATCCTGGTTTTTTGACCAGAGCAGGCTGCTGCTGGGGGTGCTGTGGGGATCAAATATGAAAAGAGAAAGGAAGATCTTTGGAAAGTCAAAGCTACCCAAGTCTCAGAGCCTTTTGACACCATGGTGGCTGGCGAAACCACCCACAGAGCCACTGAAGGCTCAAGACCGTGTGGCGAGGTTGGACACACACTTGAAGCTTAGAGAACTAATGTAGAAGAGGCTTGTCTGTGAGATTTTGCAGTACCCTAGGCCCAACACACAACCCTACAGTTGATGTCTGCCCCAAACTTCAGCATGATAAAAGAATTCTAAGAGTTGGGCTGTAGGAGGAGGACACAAAACAGTGTATGTGCCATTAGATCTCAAATTTCAGGAGCCCTGAGAAGCTCAGAGCCTCTCAGATACTTTACTCCAACAGGTTGGAGTTCACCTGTTGAATGCCCAGCATCCCTATTAGACAGTGAGTGAGTTATCCCAGCATGGCTTCTGGAGCTGCCTTTGGGTCAAGGAACTTTGCAGAGATGGAGAGTGGGAGGCTTATATGGAAATAAAAGTGGGGGACTCCTTGCAACGAACTCAACTCCAGGAGGGTGTCAGCACTGTAATGGAATTTGAATGAAGTATTGAGAGCTGGGTTGGGAGATGAGAGAGGTCAGGAGCAGTAAGTCTCAGGTGGAATCATTTAAAATTTAAAACACAGATTAAACAGCTTCCTTTTTCTGATGACAAGTACTGTGCCTATCCTGGGTCCCAGGGAGCTCCCTCATAGAGGTTCAGAGCTCTGTTGAATGCAGGGACCCAGGCTAAGAGGCTTCCTCTGTTCGCCAGCCAGCTCTGGACAAGGCCTGGGGCACTTTTCCTGCAAGCCCCCATCTTTTCCCACACTGTGGCCCACTGGGTCTTGGGGCCTCTGCCAAGGCCTACCAGCCCCAGGGGTGCCTCCATTTCAGGCTGTTCATGCTGGTGCAAGCTACTTCTCCTATAATGGAAGTATTTTTCGTACCCTTTGCCTACTGGTTCTTTACTTTGAGCATGGGGAAGTGAGATCTTTCCTTGGATGAGGTGTGCTTTGTGCTCTGAAGGCTAGTTTCTAGGTTACCACCTGGCTGTAGCAGGAGCGGAGCCAGAAGAACTTTGGGATAACTTCAACCATCTCCCTCTCTATCCCCATCGACAGAGGAGACATTGAGGTACCAAAGAAGGAAGCGACTTGCCAAGTTCACACAGCTAGTCAGCAGCGAGGTTGGAATTGAAATTTAGGATATATAACTCATTCAATCCTTCATTCCATACATTTAAAATAAATGCCCAGTATGTACCAAGAATGATGCCAGCCAAGGGGAAAACGGAGAGTGAGAAGACATGGTCTGCATTCAAGGAGTTTGCCTCGGAGTGCGGGAGATGAACATATCATCCTCGATTTTTACAAGTGGTACAAAGGAAAATATCTGGGTGATGACACAAGAGACAAAAGCAGAGTGGGGCCTTAGTCTCTAGAGAGGGTGGTATGAAAAGGCTCATCTGAATAAGCGATAATATTGAGCTTAGATAAGCAGGATCAGCAGGGGTCAGGTCAAGTGTGTTCCAGGCAGAGGGAGCCGCATGCACAAAGCCCCTGCAGGAGGAGAGTTTGGTGTCATGGAAGAAACAGCCATCCGCCACCAACATCAGCGTGGTTGAGTAGGGTGCGAGAGGAGATAAGGGTGAAGGTGAGGCAAGGGCAAGGTCATGCAGCAGACCTCCCTGAGTCAAGTGGAAGAATGCCAATTTCATTCCCATTTCTGCCATGCTGTCCAAAAGTCGTAGCTGTGTGTGTTTAGGCGGCACAGTGTCAGGGAAGGCCAGGAGCAGGACACAGCCTGTAAATGCAGGGACTTAGCATGAGAAGGAGAGGGCTTCTGAAGACAAGGGTTGGACATAGGATGCATAGAGCTGCCTTCAGCCAAGGGAGGGGACACTGAGGGGACACAAGCAAAGAAGCCTTGGAGGAAGACCTTTGAGACTGGCACCAAGGCTGTCAGGTGGCAACCGAGAGGGTGGTTTGTCCAGAAAGGATTAAGTATATCCAAGGATTGAGGCCAAGAGGCATTGTCTAACCAGCCAGGGCCTTAACAGATCCAGATGGAAGAAGCCAGACTTGGGCCTCAGGCTGAGCCAAGCGTATCCTTGATTAAGCTGAGTGTCTGTGGGTTACTTCCCTGGATGCAGCTGGTGCCCTCAGAAGTCCTGGCTGGTCGGTTCTAAATAGTGGTGGAGTGCGTGTCATGCTGACACACTTCTCACCTGGGAGAGGGGCTGCTGAAGACACATATGGCAAGGTGACAGGGGGCAAGCATGTTGCTCCCATGGATGCAGCAGGTAAGGAAGGTAGAGGAGGAGAATGAGGGGGTGGGGTGGGGGGTCTTCCTTCAGCTCAAGTGAAGCAAGGTCTGCCATTCTTCTCTGGGCTGTCTTCTCTGACCCTGGCTGTGGAGGTCTGAAGCTAAAGGATCAGCCTGCTTCCTGCTCCAGGTAAGTGTGACTAGCATGGCCCTGGAGGCAGCCCCCGCCCCTGGTTTTTCCCCTCTGGTGACCATCAAAGCTGACATCACAATTTGATTAACACAGCGACCTCTCATGGGGCCATTACCATGAACAAGATAAGGCATGCCAAGCACTTAGCACAGTGCCAGAGACCCCGGATGCCTGGTTTAGCTGCTGATAGATTTACTATTTACTGGGTCAGGTCTCTTCCATTAATGCTATTTAGCCCCACTCCTTTGCCCTGGGCTGAGCTACTTGACCTTCTCACATGATCTGATGTCCTCCTATCTTTTGCGAAGAGACAATATAATATAGGACCTTTGGTTCTCTGCTTGGTGCTGGTCCAGAGTGACCTCAGCCAAGTCACTTCTGCTCCCCAAGTCTGTTTGGTCATCTGTCAGTTGATGTGCTTGTTCTAAACCAGAGCTCTGCACTAGGTTGCTGTGCCACATTGCTGAGTCACAACTAAGTTACCTGTGTGTTGAGGGGGCAAGTCCCTCGGCCCTTGAGATGCCTTGGTGGGTCAGGATAGCCCCTAACAAGGTCTCCTCTAACTGCAAGTAGCCTGTGCTATTGACTCCAGCATGCAGAACAAATATTGCCATTTTATCTGTGTGCTATAATGTAAAAAAGGAAAAGTTGAGAAGCCCTAGAAATCATTCTTGATATGCTAATATTCTGAGTCATCTCCTAGCTTCAAAACTTGCCTATTCCAAGAAGTCTGCCCGCCCCCACAGCATCGTTCAATGATATTTCTTCTTCAGGGTCTTCTCAGCAGTTATGAGCTGCATTCGCCTGGAATGAATGAATTAATTTGTACTTCTTAATATGTGACCTGTGGGCTGTTTCCTGTAACAACAATGACAATGACAACAACTCCTCTCACTTATTGAGCGCGTGGGTGGCAGACAGCTCACGAAGTGCTTTGCTATTCGCTTCCACAATAGTGTGTGAGGGATGCGTGCACTGTTGTGTATGCACACACGGGAAGCCTGAGACTTACATAGCTGGAAACAATTGCCCAAATAGGAAGTGGCTGAGTGATGACTTGGATGTGAGTCTGTCTGGCCTGATGTAGTCCGTGCTCTTAAGCAGTTAAGTAGTATGCCTTGTGTGTGTGTGTGTGTGTGTGTGTGTGTGTGTGTGTGTCCTTCTCCCAGTTAAACTATAGATCTCCCAAAAGAGAGAGTGTTTTCTGCATTCTTTCCATCTTCCCAGAGCTCAAAATGATATTCAATAGTCCGAGCTCAGTGATTACTGTTGGGCATGTTAGACACTTTGTTCTAAGTTAAGAGTGAGGTATAGAATAGCCTTCCCTGGGTCACAGGTAGGAAGCACAACTGACCACTGGTTTTGCCTGGGTGTAGGTGGGTGTGTGAAATCTTACTGGGATGGTGGCACAGAAGAGCCTCCCAGCCCCGCCTGCTCCAGGTAGCTTGACTGCTGTTTCAGGGTAAAATGGACTTCACTAAGGGAAGTCAGAACTGGAGAATTCATAAAGTATGTCCTTCAAGCCAGGTACCCAGCCCATGACACTTGGTCCTGGGGCTTCCCACAGCTTCTCGCACAGTCCTGTCTTCTCTCTTTCAGAGGGGCAAGTAAAAGCCAGTGATTGTCATCTAGGATTAATGGGTCTTGGTAGCCTGGAGTGGGGATCACATATCCAAGCAGTGCTCACTTGTGACCCTGGCCTCCAATCTAAAGCCCCTGTCTCCTCTCCATCAGTGCCCCGGGACTGCATGCTTAACCCTTCTTCCTTCCCTCCTCCCTTGGCTTTAATGTCCTCACCTGGCCTTCCCACTGCTTAGCTTCTAGTTCGGTCCTATAAAGGAGCTTAGACTCTTGGTGAGTTGTCTTTGAGTGGCCCGAGGAAGCCCCCATCCCACTCTTCTTTCTCCTGAACACCCAAACCACACACATATGTGCGATGTGGTTAAGGATCAGACAGTCCTGCATTTGACTCTCTGCTCTAACTGATTAGTATGTAACTTTGGATAAGTTCATCGATATTCGCTTAAGAAGTATTTACTGAGCACCTACTATGTGCCACATACTATGCTATGTACTGGACATGTGGTGATATGTGGAGAATAAACCCGGCAGGTGCGTGCTTGTGAAGGTGGTCAGGTGAGGTCTCCTTGAGTTGAAGTCTGAATGATGATAAAGAGGTAATACGGAGGAAGAACATTCTACTGAGACAGGGGAAACAACCAGTGCAAAGGCCCTGAGGCACACTGACACATTCAGTAGATTTACAGGGTGTTGCTGTACTGGAGAATGAACTGCAGATCATCAGGAGTGGCAGTAAGGAAACCGGTGAGAAGTCTACTGTGAAGGTCCAGGTGAGCACTGACGAAGGCCGAGTATATTATATCTTCTCTCTGAAACTTACTTGCCCTATTCAAAAAATGAACATAACAAGAGTACTTCCCTTACAGGGTGGCCATGGAGAGTAAATGAGTCGGTATTTGGCATGCAGTAAATAGTAACTATTAGCATTAATAAAAAGGGTAGTCATCACAAGTGTGGGCTCAGCTCTATGAGGCTTCACAGGAGAACTGAGCCTCCAGTGAAGCTGAGACTTTTCCATCCAGCGGTCAGGGGTGCTTCCAGGGAGTCAGAGGTCAGAGGCCAGCTGCCCCTTCTGTCACCCATCCCAGGTTCTTAGTAAAGGGCATCACTGGATGCTCAGTGGGGATTAAGGCAGCCACTGCTCAGGGAGGAGGGACAGGTGGCCTTGGGAGGGAGGGCAGCATCTTCTCTGTGTTATGGAAGCTAGCAGGCTGAGGAGTGGGGAAGCTCAAGCAACCCGTGCTTCCTGTGTTCCTGAGCCAGACCTGGGAGAAATTCTCACCTCATCCAGGGAGGCTTTGAGTTGAGAAGAAAGAATTGAGCTAGGAGGGGAGGCAAGCCAGGGTATAGAAGGCAAGGAGGCAGGCTCTCCTTCTTCTTGACTTTCCATAACCCAGGGCAGGGATGTGGGGTAAATAGAGGAAGAGAGAGGAGAAGGGGTGAGGGGAATCACTTCCCATCTTTGTGATGAGTGGATGAGATGAAAGAAGCCAAAGCTACCAAGAAGGATTTGGTTAGATGCCCTCAACTGTACAGAGACAGCAGTTGGACCCTACAGCACATTTCTGCTCGAATAAACAGGACCTTCTCTCCGGCAGAAATCCTTCTCTTCCAACTGGCATGGGGGGTGAGCCTGCTGAGAGGCTAAGAGGGCTCCGATGACCTCTAGCTCCTGCCCCCACCTGACTGCACCAGTTGTCTGCAATGGTGGCAAAGGGAAATTTTATGAGCTCTTCAGTCCTCAGGTCTCATGGGCTTTTGCCTTGCTCCAGACCATCTCTGATACACACATATATCTTGAAAAGGAAAAGAAAGAGAGAGAAAAGCTATTTTATTTCATTGCCAAACCATCCACTTTAAATACCCTTTTTATTACAGTATCTGCATAGTAATACTAATAATAGATCTTGTTGGCAGCTCTAATGAGGCTGGAGAATATAAGGTTTCCAATAAAGTTAATTGTTGCCTTTAATATTCTCATACATTTATACATGGTAAATCTTTAAAGGAGAAAAAACACTCCATTTCATCCCTTAAGCAGCCGGTCCTAGACTGGATTGAGACCAACTGCAGTAGAGACGTGGGCTGGGAGCTTGACTGTCGGAAAACTTGGATTAGGATCTCCAGACTTCCTCCTACCAAGAAGAGCGTGAGTTTTGAGTCGGAGAGCTCTGGGTTTCCAGGTCAGCTTTGTCACGTCCTGACTTTGTAGGTGGGGCCCATGGCTTATCCTCTCTGTCTCTGTTTTTCAGTCTCTGAGATGGGATTTATGATAAATGGATATGAAGCTCAGTATAGTGCTGACATATATGTGGTGTTCCATGCATGTCAACTATTATCATTATTTTAAGCTACTAAATACACTTATTATTTTATCCACTTGTTATGTGCATCATTAATTGTGACGTGAAGCAGGGTGCTGCAGTCATTGTATCTGATCTTCAGAGCTAACTAAAAGATCTTTCTGTTAATCAGTTTTTTTTTTCCCCCGTTAATCAGTTTCTTAAGCTTGTGTAGCAGTAAGCAATAGATCAGGGTTAGAAGTCAGGATTCTTGATCTCCAGCAACGTTCAGTAACCAGCAGTTAGGAGGCAGCCCTGATCTCCAAACCCTACCTCTCCACAAGTCTAGCGCATACATGACTGACCTGACCTTCTGCCCACCTTTAATCAGACCCATATCTACTGCCTGGGCCCTGGACATATTGTGATTAAAATTCGGGAATGAAGGAGGGCTTCTTGCCCCTGTCTTGCGACCCGTACTCTTGATTCCTGTCCATCCTCTCCCGGTGGTCATACATTTTCTTTGCTTTTACTTTTACTCGGAGAAAATTTTGTGATTTTTACAGTCACAGAGTAAAGAAGAATATATGTTTCACCATTTATTGTATTACCGATGTCATGTATTTTTGACAGTTCCATCACATTTCTGACATTTACAATGTTTTTTTTCCCCCAGGGAGTGAGTAGAAGGAGCTGTTTTCCCATGCCCCACCCACATGATCCTGGAAACGAAGAGGAACCTGAGATGCTCTGGGTTAGGGACAGGCCTGTGTGACCTTGTGTTTTAACAAATGGATCACAAACAATCCAACCCCCACCTCTCTGGCCTTCCTCACCCAGTCGGAGTTCTCCGCTCCACATCAACGCCTCTCCCGCTGGCAAGTGGTAAGAAATACTATGTGACAGGATGGTTGCCATGGCAACCCTCATTTCCAGTTAAACAACCGGGCACTGATGAAAGGAGTCTCGTTTGCTTTGGTTACAGGGTTTGCTGGGAAGGGTGTGGAGCGTGTTTCTTCCTCTCTTGTTTTTCCCTTTCTTACTCCTCACTTTCCTGTCTTGTTATTCAGGGATGAGATAGAGGCACTGAAGGTCCGGGTGCTGCCCAGGCCCTAGAGAATGGGGAGTGTCGCTTCAGGCTGGACCAGAGGCAGCAGGGCTGGGTGTCTGGGGGCTGAGTGCTGAGTGGAGGTCGCGCCTCCTGGTCTTGCAGCCGCAGTTTTCCTCCCAGCTCCGCCTGCCTCAGGTCCCCTGGTTTCCCTGCCCTTCCAAAGAAAGGACCTGTTGGGGAAGAAATGGGCTGGCGGAGGACCCTGTGTCCCAACAGGTGGTTGGGTAATTAAGTGAGCTTTATGCACACAACACTGTTTTGCCTGATGTAATTGCAGTTTCCATATAAATAATTCACGGGAAATTATTAGAGTGAGGACATCGCCCGCCTCCTCATAATTTGCTTAACCGAAATAGGCTCTTTCATCATCCGTGTTGATTTGCCTTAAGACCATGCACTCAGCATCCTTCATAGGCCTGCTCCTCCGAAAACGAGAATGCAGAATTTAATTAAGTTATGCAAATTGGGCATCCCCTGCCTGGGAGAGGCAGGGTGTTTGCCCACATGGCTGTGGGGTGGTGCACGGAAGAAGGGAGAGGCATGGTGTGCCCCAGGTGCCCAAACAGTGGCAGTTGTTTAGGAAGGAAGTTCCCCCCTCTGAAAAATCACAGCACCCCAATGAAGAGTTTAAGAGCTGTACTCCTTGAATGGGGTAGAGCAGTCAGAGCTGGAACTCTGGGGCCTGCCTCCTGGCTTATTCGCTGTGTAACTTTGGGCAAATAACTTAACCCCACTAAACCTCAGCTTCCTTCTCTGTAAAATGAGGCTCATGAAGGCACCCTTCTCCTGAGGTTGAGGTGAGGGATATATGAGAGGGTCTCATTAATATGGTTCTGGCCACAGGGCTTCATAAGCACTTGCTATTAGTTATTATTATTACTATTACTGTTGTTGTGATTGTTCTCATTAAATACATGAGAATCTCAGCTGTGGCTTCTATTGCTCTGGGTGGGAATATCTGCCTGAGTCTATCCAGGCCTTCTGCCACAGGGAGGGTTAAATTTTGACATTCTCCCTAGATTATCCCATGATTTTTGGAGAAACTTGTCAAGTTAGAGGGAAAAACCATGCATTTTGGAGCCAGGCAGATCAAGATTAAAATCCCACTTCCCCTACTTGCATACTGTGTGGTCTTGGGCAAGTTATTTTACCTTCATGAGCCTTAATGGCCTCATGGATAAGATGGGGGTGGTGTTCTTGCTTCTCTTGGAGCTCGTGAGGGTTAGAAAGAATGTCTGCAAAGCACCAGGCACATGCCTGCCACATAGTTTATGCTCAACAAATGGTCAAATGAATCTGAATCTAGGCAGGGCCTGCCTTAGCCTCCTCACTCTCTATCCTTCCTTTTTCTGGGGTCCTTCTTCCATGTCTCTCCCGGCATTCTTTCGATGGTACTTTTCTTTTAAAGGAGCAAAGGACTCAGTAAATATCTACCCTGAGGTATAAGTGACTGATGAGCTTAAAATCTCTATTCCTCCTCAAGGGATTACCATTTTCTTAAGGGAATAAAATGCCTAAGTTTTCTTAAACTAAAGGTTTGGTGCTTTAATGGGGGCATTTTATAAGCCTGTCATAAAACAGAGGGGTGCTCCCAAAATCTCTACTGGAAAGTGATAGGTTCCTCATAAGGGAAGCCCTGAGTCTGGGAACCCGCCTTGATGGCTAGTGCCTCTCATGGATTCTCTCTTTTGCTGGGATTTAAGATTTGTTACACAGCTAGTTGCTTAATTCATTTAACAAATATTTACTGAGCATCTACTGTATGCCAGGCACTGTGCAAATCATTGAGTTTACAGGAGTAAGCAAACAGTCACAGTTCCTGCCCCAATGGAACTTCAAAGCCAGTGGGAGTGACAGTTATGAAATAATCGTTAGCATTTCTGAATATAAATATAATTACACATTCTATAAGAGTTTAAAGAAAATGAACAGGGGGCAATAAGAGTGAATAGAAAGGTGGCTGAACTCAAATGGCAGGTGGGTGGGTAATGGAAGTATCTCTGCAAGAGGAGGAAGGAGAGGACTGAGTTAGGAGAACAGTGAGAGGAAGGGCATTACTGGCACAGGGAAGTGTGTGTTCAAAGGCTCAGAAGCAGGAGAAAGGCTGGTGCCTTTGTGGGACTGGAAGAAGACAAGCAGCTGAAGTGACTAAAGGGACAAGAGGTGTTTGGTGAAGCCAGGTACGGTGGCTCACACCTGTAATCCTAGCATTTTGGGAGGCTAAGGGGGGTGGATTACTTGAGGTCAGGAGTTTGAGACTAGTCTGGCCAACATGATGAAACCCCATCTCTTCTAAAGATACAAAAATTAGCCTGGCATGGTGACACGTGCCTGTAATCCCAGCTACTAGGAGGCTGAGACAGGAGAATTGCTTGAACCTGGGAGATGAAGGTTGTAGTAAGCTGAGATTGCATCACTGCACTCCAGCATGGGTGACAAGAGTGAAACTCTGTCTCAACAAAATTTAAAAAAAGGTGTTTGGTGAAGTAGGCAGAGGTCAGGAGTGGGAGGTCTTAGGATAATAGGGAAATGCAGATCCCAGGGTCCCAATCACATCTGCAGATCAAGCTGGAAGTCCTTTAATATCTAGGTCGTGAGACCCAAAGAAGCCCCTTGACTCATTTTAGAGGAAGAAAAAAGCAGACTGCCAGCAGGAAGAATTAGGGAGAATTTTGGACTCAGTGTTAGAAAAGCCAGTTTGGTTCTGGCTCTGCTAATTGTTCCTTATGAAATTAACTGTTCTGAGCCTTAATGGCCTCACTGGTAATGGGGTGCACTGTATATTTCTCATTGACCCCTCCTGAGCCACTTTTGAGTCTTCTTTGCCCTGCTCTGGGCCCCAGGAGGCTGATTTGTATGAACTGCCTCAGTGGACTTGTTTTCCCTCTGTCTTGGCTAAAGTAAAGTACCAGTACAGAAACTGGGGCAGAAGAAGAGTAAGGTTAAGATACAGACTTCCCTTGCTCTCACGGTACTGGTCAGTGGATTGTCTGCATCTCTCTGTAAAAGGCCACTACCCCAGTTTCACATTCGCCTCCTGTAGATACTGAGTCCAGGTGCTGGTAGCTGCTCCCCATCAGGTCCTAGCCTCAGAGTGGCAGTATCTCCTTTATATTATTAGTCCCACAGTGCTGCGCTATCCCTTGTCACTTCTACTCAGCCCTGCCCACATCTTCAACAAGAGTCACCACAGTGAGCATGTTGGATTATTTTCTATGCCAACTTGCTTGGGCCACAGGGTGCCCAGACATTTGGTCAAATATTATTCTGGTGTGTCTCTGAGAGTGTTTCTGTGTGAAATTAACATTTGAATCAGTGGATTAGTAAAGAAGGCTGCCCTCCTTAATGTGGGTGGGTCTCATCCAATAAGTTGGAGACCTGAACAAAACAGAAAAATTGAGTAAGAGACCACTTCCGCCTGAATGCCTGGAGAAGGAACAAGCCCTTTGCCCTTTGGCTGAAACTTAACACCATCAACTCGTTTGGATCTCTAGCTTGCCAGCTGCAGATACTGGGACTTGTCAGCCTCCATAATTGCATGTACTGATGCTTTAATAAACATCGCTCTCTCTCTCTGTCTTTCTCTTCATATATATGTATGTGTATGTGTGTGTGTGTCTATAGTCATGTGTCACTCAACAACGGAGTTACCTTTTGAGAAATGCGTTGTTAGGCAATTTTGTCATTGTGGACATATCAGAGAGTGTACGTACACAAACCTAGGTTGTATAGCCTATTATATACCTAGGCTATATGGTATGCTCTGTTGCTCCTAGTCTACAAACTTGTACAGCGTGTTACTGTACTGAGTACCGCAGGTAGGTGTAACACAATGCTAATTATTTGTATATCTAAACATAGAAAATGTACAGTAAGAGTAGAGTATAAAATATCCATTATAACTTACGGAATCACTCTCGTATATGTAGGCAATTGTTGACTGAAACATTATTATGCAACATATGACTAAATATATGTAGTCATATATAGAGAGTTATATAAATAGTCATATATATATAGTTCTATCTGTATCTATATTTGCAATCAGTTCTGTTTCTTTGACCAATACTGTGTTTGACAAACATTTGCTGACTATTGCATATGACTTTATCATCTCTCAGGTCCCTGCCAGCTCTCACACATCGATTTAAGAAACAGGCTGTGGAAGTGAGCAGGGTAGCAGGTAGGAGGAACAGGGAAGCTGTGGCTTTCCTGGGGTTGGCCCAAGCCCCAGTATCCCCACATCTTCACTCTTTCTCTTCCTTCACCATCCCAGGCTGTGACTGGGAAAGAAGACTGTGAGAAGGGAAGAGACGAAGCAATCTTCCCTGCTGCTCCTGTATCTCTTCATGGATGCCTTACCTTTTATTTTTAAGTTTTATTAAAATATAATTGACATACAATATTCTGAACATATTTAAAGTATACCATTTGATGAGTTTTGACATATGTATATTTGAGATAATGAACATATCCATCATTTCCGTAAGTTTCTTTGTGCCCCTTTGAAATCCCTCTCTCCTGCACTCCCCACCCCCAATCCCTAGGCAAACACTGATCTGCTTTCTGTCACTATAGATTCATTTGCATTTCCTACAATTATATAAATGGAAGCTACAATATGCACACATTTTGTCTGCCTTCCTTCACTCAGCATAATTATTTTGAGATCCATCTGTGTTGTAGTATATATCAATAGTTCATTTCTGATAGTATTTCATTATATGAATATACCACAGCTTGTCTCTTCTCCCATTGATGGACATTTGGATGTTTTCATTTTTTGGCTGTTACAAATAATGCTTCTGCGAGCATTTGCGTAGAAGCTTTGGCATCCATATACACTTACACTTCTCTTGGGTAAATACCTAAGAGGAGAATGACTGGATCATATAGTAGGTGGTTGTTTAAATTTTTGAGAAACTGCCATGCTGCTTTCAAAATTAGTTGTACCACTTTACATTCTCTCAGCAGTATATGAGAATTCCAATGGCTTCACATTTTTGGCAATACTTGGTATGTTCAGGCTTCTTAATTTTAGCCATTTTAATAGGAGTACAGGGGTATCTCATTGTGGCTTTAATTTGCATTTCCCTAACAAGTAATAATGTTGTTTCTTTTTTTCATATGTTTCTCTGCTTTCTGTATATTTTCTTTGGTGAAGGCAAATCTTTTGTCTGTTTCTAAATAACATTGTTTATGTTCTTATTATTTATTTTTGAAGGTTATTTATATATTATAGATACACATCTTTGACCAAATACATGGTTTGAAAATATTTTCTCATTCTGTGCCTTGTCTTTTATTCTCTTAACAGCTTGTCTTTTTATTCTCTTAACTGTGTCTTTGAAAAGCAATTTTGGATTTTGATGAAGTTCTATTTACAAGTTGTTTTTTTATGCAGTTATGTCTAAGATGCCTTTACTTAATCCAAGGTCATAAAGCTTTTGTCTTATGTTTTCTTCTAGAAGTGTTAAAGTTTTAGGTTTTATATTTAGATCTATTACCCTTTTGAGTTGATTTTTGTATGTGGTGCACAGAATGGATCAAAAATATGTAGTTTTACATGTGAATATCCAATTGTCCTAATACCATTAGTTGAAAAGTTTTAAACTTCTTCCCTTTACTTGCTTTTATAAGCTTGTCAAAACTCAGCTATATATATAAAGATATATGTTTGCGTCTATTTCTGGCCTCCATTCTGTTACATTGATGTTTACACCAATACCTCACTATTCATATACTACAATTTTATAACTCATAAAAACAGGTAATGCTAATCCTCTAAACTTGCTCTTTTTTTTTTTTTTTCAAAGTTGTGTTGTCTATTTCAGGTTCTTTGAATTTCTAGAAATATTTTAGAATTAGTTTAAAACTTTCTACTAAAAAGCATGGTGAGATGTTAAATGGGATGGCATTGAATCTATTGATGAATTTGGAGGGTACTGACATTTTACTTTTAACAATATTGAGGCTTCCAATTCATGAACATAGTATGTACATTTCCCTTTATTTGGGTGTTTAAAAATTTCTTTAAGTACTATTTTAGGGTCTTTGGTGTACATATCTTTCACAACTTTTGCATATCTTTCCCTAAATATTTTATATTTTCTGATGTTCTTGTAAATAATACTGTTTTCTCAATTTTAATTTTTGATTATTATTACCATTAGTATATTAAAATTGAATTTTGTATATTTACCTTGTGTCTTTCAACCTTGATAAACTCATTTGTTAGTTCCAGTGGCTTTTCATAGATTTCACTGGATTTTCTACATAAACAATCATGCTGGGTATATATGAAGACAGTTTTACTCCTTTTTCAGTCTTGATTCCTTTTCATTTATTTATTTTTCCTATTTTTATTACACTGGCTAGAACCTTCAGAACAATGCTGAATGGAAGAGAACATTCTTGTGCTGCTGTTTTTGGTCTTGGTGATGTGTCATGTGAGAAAGCATTCATCTTTTTATAGATGCCCTTCATCAGGTTGAGAAAGTTTCTTCATTCTTATTTTGCTGTGAATTTTTGTCCTGAGTGATTGTTGGATTTTGTTGAATTCTTTATTGCATCTATATAGATCATATGACTTTTCTTCAAAATGTGTTTCTATGGTAAATTACCCTAATAAATTTTAGACATTAAATCAACCTTGAATTCCTGGATTAAATTCCACCTAGTTGTAATTATTACCTTTATAAAAATATATATATTTCATTGCACTTTAGGTTCTAGGGTGTATGTGCAGAACATGCAGGACTGTTGCATAGGTACATACATGGCAATGTGGTTTGCTGCCTCCATCCCCATCACCTATATCTGGGATTTCTCCCCATGTTATCCCTCCCTAACTCCCTGTCCGTGGCTGTCCCTCCTCTAGTCCTCCCCAACAGACCCCAGTGTGTATTCTCATTGTTCAACACCCACCTAAGAGTGAGAACATGTGGTGTTTGATTTTCTGTTCTTGTGTCAGTTTGCTGAGAATGATGGTTTCCAGATTCATCCATGTCCCTACAAAGGACATGAACTCATCGTTTTTTATGGCTGCATATTGTTGAATTCAACTTTCCAAAAATTTGTTTAATCTGTGATATTAATCTGAAACTTTCTTTTCTTGTAATATCTTTGTCTGATTTTGGTAACTTGGTAACAATGACTTTATAGAATGAGTTGGAAAGTATATTCTCCTCTTCAGTGACCTAGAAGAAGGTATAAAATTTGTATTATTTTTCTTTAACTATTTAGTAAAAGTCACCAATGAACCTATCTGCTGCTGAATTTGTATTTGTCAGAAGATTCTAACTACACATTCAGTTTTTAAAATAGATTGAAATTCAGGTTATCTATTTCTTCTTTAGAGAGAGTTAATAATAAAAAATTTTTAGTTTATCTACTTTATCTAAATTCTTAAATTTATTGACATTTATTGGCATGTACTTGTTTATAATATGCCTTTATTACTCTGTAACCAGTGTGGAATTTGTGCAGTTGCAATGTCTCTCATTATTTATATCATTAATATGTCTTATCTCTATTTTTATTAATCAGCCTGGTTAAATATTTATCAATTTTTATTGATATTCTTAAATAAGCAAATCTTGGTTTATTGATTCTCTCTGTCATTTTTCTGTTTTCTATTTTATTGATTTCTGATTTTTATTAATAGTTTTTTTTTTCTACTGCTTACTTTGGATTGAATTTACTCTAAGTTTCTTAAGGTGAAAGCTAAGTTCTCTGATTTGATACTTTAATTTTTCCTTCTTTCTTAATGTAGGCATTTAGTACTATAAATATTATACCTTCTCCCTCCACCACCACCAAGTATTGCTTTAATGGTTTCCCACAGTTTTAGTTAGATTCTGTTTTACTTTTATTCAGTTCAAAGTATTTTCTAATTTCCTTTCTGAGTTACCTGTAACTCACAGGTTATATAGAAGTGTGTTATTTAGTTTAAAAATATTTGGGGAACGTTCTGGAGATATTTCTGTTGTTAATTTTTAATTTAATCCAATTAAATTGAGAAAATGTATTTTGTATGACTTGAGCTTTTTTATATTTATTGATACTTGTTTTTGGTACAGAATATGTTTTATCTTATGAAACAATCTTGCACCTGAAAAAAATTGCATTCTGCTATTGTTGGGTAGAATGTTCTATAGTGTCAACTGGGTCCATTTGTTTGATAATGCTTCTCAAATATTCTATACATTTTGTGATTTTTCTGTCTACTTTTTCTATCAAGTACTGAGAAAGAAATATTTGAATATTGGACTCTATGGATTTTCCTGGTACTCCCTGTGGTTTTATCAGTTTTTGCTTTATGTCATTTGGAACTTTGTTATTAGGTACGTAAACATTTAGGATTATTGGGTTCTCTTAGTGAATTGACCTCCTTTTCATTATGAAATAAACTTACAGGAAAGTAGCCCGGGTAATATTTTTTTGCACTGAAATCTACTTTGTCTAATATAATATAATCACTCTAGCTTTCTTTCTTTATCACAGCTTCATTGACACATGTTGTACAGCCTAAATTCACACATTTCAAGTGTACAATTCAATATTTAACATATCTACAGAGTTGTGTAGATATCTAATCACCATTATCTAATATTAGGACATTTTCACTATCACCCAAAGACATTCACCCCAATTCACTTCTCTTCCCACCCTCAGTCTTAGGCAGTCATTTTCAATTTATATTAATTTGCCTATTCTGGACATTTCATATAAATAGAATCATACAGAATGTGGTGTTTGTATTTGGGGTTTTAAACATTATTTTTTAATTAAAATTTTAATTTTAACATAATTGTAGATTCATATATATTTGTAAGAAATAGTATAGACAGATCACATGTACCCTTTAACCAGTTTTCCCCAATGATAGCATCTTGCAAAGCATTAGTACACTATCACAATCAGGCTGTGTACATTAATGCAATCAACATACAGAAATCTTCATCACCACGAGGATCCTTCATGCAGTGAAGGACCCTTTGGTGGCCATGTCCGTTCCCATCCCATCTTTCCTTAATCTTTGGCAACCACAAATCTCTTCTCCATTTCAACAATTCTGTCACCTCAAGAATATTATATAAACAAAATTATGCAGTGTGTAACATTTTAGGATTAGAATTTTTTCACTCACTTTAATTCTTTGGAGATACATGCAGGTTGTTGCATGTAGGAATTGTCTTGTTTTTTTTTTTTTTTTAATTCCAGATTAATATTCTATGATATGAATATACAACAGTTTAACTGTATATCCATTGGAGGACATCTTGGTTCATTCTGATTTTGGGCTATTATGAATAAGGTTGCTATACACATTCATGTATAGGTTTTTGTGTGAGTATAAGTCTTTATTTCTCTGGGATAAATACTCAGAAGGTTCACTTGCTGGGCTGTATGGTAATTGCAAGTTGGTTTTTCAAAACACTGCTAAACAGCTTTCCTGAGTGTTGGTACCTTTTTACATACCCATCAGTAGTGTACAAGTGGTCTGGCATTTCTACATTCGCACCAGCATTTATGTTGTATTAGTCCATTTGCATTACTGTAAAGGAATACGAAAGATTGGGTAATTTATAAAGAAAAGAGGTTTAATTGGCTCTTGGTTCTGCAGCGTGTACAGGAAGTGTGATATCAGCATCTGCATCTGGTGAGGACCTCAGGAAGCTTACAATTGTGGTGGAAAAGGAGGGCGAGCAGGCCCAGGTTTTTAAACAATCAGCTCTCTCATGAATTAATAGAGTGAGAACTCACTTATCCTCAAGGGGATGGTGTTAAATCATTCATGATCCAATCACATCCCACCAGGTTCCACCTCCAACATGGGAATCACATATCAACATGAGATCTGGAGGGTCAGACATTCAAATCATAAAAAATATTGTCACTATTTTTTAAAATTTTAGCCATTTTGATGGATATGTAGTGATATTTCACTGTAGTTTTAATTTGCCTAAAATTAATGATATTGATTATCTTTTCATGTGTTTAATTTCTATCTCTATATCATCATTGGTGAAATGTCTCTTTAGGTATTTTGCCCATTTTCTAATAATTTTTTTTTTTTGCTTTTAAGGTTTTTGAGTTCTTTATATATTCTAAATGTTGTTCTTTGTTGCATATGTGGTTTGCAAATATTTTCTCACTTTGTAACTTGTCTTAACCTTTTCACAAGATCTTTTACAGAACAAAAGTATTTTATTTTCATGAAATCTAATTTGACATATTTTTCTTTTTTAACCTTGCTGTAATATCAGGTCTAAGAACTCTTCTCCTAGCCCTAGGTTTTCTCCTATTTTTTTCTAAATGTCTTATGGTTTTGCATTTTACAGTTAATTCTGTGATCCATTTACATTGCTTTTCGTATAGGTGTAAGATTTCAGTTGAGTTTCTTTTCTTTTGTCTTTGGATGTCCAATTGCTCCAACACAATTTGTTGAAAAGGGAAATTTTCTTCCATTGAATTGCTTTCGTACCTTTGTCATAAATCAATTTGGCATATTTGTATGGGTCTATTTCTGGATTCTCTATTCTGTTCCATTTATCTTTGTGTCTGTCTCTCTTCCAATACCACACAGTCTTGATTATTGTAGCTATATAAACCTTAAAAATCAAGTAGGCTTATTTCTTCCACTTTATTCTTTTTTTCAAAACTGATTTAGCTACTGTAGTTTCTTTACCTTTCCATATAAATTTTAGAATAATTTTATCTATATCTACAAAAATATGGCTAGGATTTTGATAGGAATTCATACCATTAAAACTGTATATTAAAATTTTGGGAGAATTAACATCTCTATTCATCTTGTTGAGTCTTCCAGTCCATGAACACTGATGTCTCTCCATGTATTGAGATCTAAGAGTTCTTTCATTAACATTGTGTAGCTTTTGGCATACAAGCACCATACATGTTTTGTTAGATCTACATCTGAGAAGTTTTTCCATGAGTGATTGTCAATGATACTATATTTTAAATTTTGATTTCCGTGTGTTCATTTCTAGTATAGAGAAATAGACTTGATTTGTATATGTTTATCTTGTGTCCTTCTACCTTGCTGAACTTACTCATTCTAGAAGTTTCTGTAAATTCCTTGAGATTTCTATGTAGGCAGTTATGCCATCTACAAATATGGGCAGTTTTATTTCTTTATTTTCCAATTGTATCCATTTTATTTCCTTTTTCTTGCC